CAACTCAGCACAGCCGTGTTGTCTAATAAATCGTCACAAAACCTCCGCTGCGAACAGTAGTGAGCATTTGTGCTTTGTTTGTAAGCCTGACAGCTCAGCTTCAGCTCTGCAGCTCCACTTCACACCTCTTCCCTCCTGCTGCTTGGGGCCAGTGAGCTCGCCAGGGGTGCTGTTCTCATGGTGAGAAAGGGCACACCCACTTCACCAGCACATTCCTGGCCTCTGCTTACTGTAGGGTTCAGCTACTTAAATCCATGGATGGAAGCAAGTCTTATAGGGCAAAGTCTGCCTGGAGCAGTAGGGATTACAAAGATAGAGCTAGAGAGAAGGGTGGAGAATTGGGGCCAATAATGATATTACTACAGCTAGACAGCCCAGAGTAGTATTTAGTCATACAACCGGATTCCTCTTTGTTGCGTTAAAGAGAAAAATTGTACAGACGCATGTAGAAATGACGAGGAAGACTTTATTCAAGACTCTTGTAATGGAGACAAGGACTAGTATAATAAAGCAGAGAGAATGACCTCAATTTCATTGAAACAAAAAGGCAGGAGAGTTTTTAAGCACTGGGGTGAGCTATGAAAAGGCCCTGCAGGATACTAGGGAACAGGTTGATTGATCGATATAATCATTCCTTCTAAGTTTGATGATTGGCACTTGTCTGAGTTAGCTTTCTACCCTTCCCCACTGGGAGAAAAGGGCACTATCTGTCTTCACATTTTAAAGAAGTGGCTCCCAGGTCTTTGAGAAAAGCATCTCCAGGATTGCTCAACTGGCAAGAGACTGGAAAAGAACTTCATCTCAAAGGGGAGAGGAAATGGTGAAAATTTTTATAAAGTAAATGGTGAAGAAAAGAATAGGTCAAGGACATATCATTGGGAAGAAAAGTGTACGAATTTTAATAAAACTGAGGGAGCGTCGAGGCCATGCTGATCGGTCCCTAACAACCACACACTGGAACCATTCTCCACTATAGGGGCCGAGCACACTGCACTGGACTGGCAAGACCATCAGTCCAAGTCCCCCATCCATTGTTACTCCCTCGCGTTACTCCTTCCTTACTTCTCGGAGGGGTCACTTTTATTTCTGAAAGGATGGTTGCAACATCCCCCATGACCTTCTTCAAACGGGGCCTTCATTTTTCTCACATCAGCTGGTGGGGTTTGTGTCCTCTGCCCTTGAACTTGAGCAGCCCGTTGTAATTTTCTCTACAAATGTGATGACCATTCAAATGCTGTGCACTCCCACCGTTCCCTCTCCAGATGCTTGCTCTTGGAATTTAGCTTCTGCACTGTGAGGAAATCAGTCTACTACAGACAGAAAGACCACATGGAGTGGCCACATGTAAGGGCGTAGCCCCGCTGAGCCACCAGCCAAAGCTAGCAATTGAGTGTGCTTGGATGCTTTCTCTTCCGGCCATTTGAGCCCTCCCAGCTGAGACCCAGACCTCTTAGGGCAGGGACAAGCCATCCCCGCCACTCCCTGTCTGAATCCCCGAATCACAGAATCCCTGGACACAGTGAAGTAGCTTCACATCACCAAATCTTAGAATGGTTTATTGCACAGCTGTAAGTGGCACGCCGAGTCTTGCATTGGTGAGTGCAGCCTGCACCCTCACTGCAGGCTGGGAGACAAATACTGGCTTCAGCTTCAGTGAGGCGGGAGAGCTCTTCAAAAGATGGGAGCTGGCCACAAAGCAACGAATGTGAAGGTTTACAATATTCTACGTTTTTCTGATCATTGAAAAGGCATTTCACATTTTTAATTATTTGTATTTCTCTAATTACTGGTGTTCTTGATCATCTTTTCATGCATTATTTGGGCTTTCTCTTTTGTGGATTGACTATTCATAAATTTAACCATTTCCCTATTGAATTTCCTGTCTGTCTTACTGATTTTTGGAACTTCTTACACATTCAAGATATTAATCTCCCGTCTGTTTCAGGTAGTGCAATTATTTCCAGTATGACCTCTGCACTTGACTTTGCCATCATATCCTCTGTTTTACAGAAATTGTTAAGTCTACCCAAATCAAATAAACCTCTCTCCTTCTCCCTCTCTCTCTCTCTCCGCTTCCTTTCTGTCTCGACAGTCTGTTTTGGGCTTTTAAGTTTTGCTTAAGAAATATTTCCCTTTATCTTCAGTTCTATATATTCCATTATTTTTGTAGATTTACTATTGACATTTAGATGTTGGCATTGCCAGGAGTTCATCCTTGCATATGGTATAAGGTAGAGATCTGGCTTCACTGTTCTCCATGTAGGGAGTCATCTAGTACCATCTTCAAAGCAGTCTGTCTGTTTTGAATATAACTTTCATCCCATAGGACATTCCTGTTACTGTTTCGGTGGCTTCTCATCTAGTGCATTCAACTGTTTGTGCACGCATACTGTGGTGTTTTTATTCTTGGGACCTATCTCATTTTTACTGCCATCTGTCAATTATAAGCCCTAAGTATCTCTTAGAACCATTTGCTCCCATTTGAACTAGGAAGCAAAACTTTTCAAAAGTGTTATGTTATAAATTTTCTTCAAATATTAAAATTCTTCCTTCAGGTTGTCATTTCTTAATGCGTTCTCACTAACTTCCTCTTGTCACCTAACCTTCCTGTTTTATGCTGAAATATCTGTTAATGAATTTGTCAAAATTTTGCCTAAGCAGACTAAACAGTGATCCTGCAAGAAAAGACCAAAGTTGTAGCACATGTTTTTTGAGACATCTGCTTTGGATGCTCAGAGACCTTTCCTTGGTCTTAGCCATCATCTTCAGATGTCACTCTGAGGACACAGGTTTTGGTGTCTAAGCACAGGAGAGGTGAAAAACATTGGAACTCATTTCTGAAAAGTGGTACCATAAGGTTATGCTTGGGAACACTGGGCATATTGAACTGTGGAAACCTAGAACACAGATCCCCAAATTTTCGTTTGTTTTCATCGACAGATTTTACACACTACCTGCCCTCTGCATCAAGTCGTTAGTAATTCATGTGTTCATTTGTTCACCACATATTTGTTGAGGGTGTACACTATGTCAGATGTACACTGTGTACTGGAGATAAAAAATCAGTGCTGCAAATACCTGTGATGCGATGGAGCTCATTTTATCTTCGTGGATGGTAGTAGTTACACAGATGATGTTCAAAACCAATGATAGTGGTTGACTCTGGGGAGTGATGGAGGAAATTCAAATGGATGCATGCATTTTAGTGTCTTCCAAAGTAAGGGCTTCAATGCCCCTACCCTCCAGGACCCACAGTCCATATTTGGGAACCACTATGTTGAAAGGAGTGGTTGCATGGGCCCCTTTCACCATCACCAAGGAATGAATGTGTTGTACCAGGTCACCCTGGGACAGCCTGCTTTTATACTTACAAATATTTTTAGAATTTGTACTTTTGTAATAAAATCAAACTGGCACACTCAGTCTTGCCTTGGTGAGTGCAGCCTGCACCCTCACTGTAGGCATTACTGTCGAAATGAAATGGAGTTTCACGGTGGGATTTCAGAATCTTTGTTTAATTTTATCCATATCTAGGCACACATAAAATCAGGTATTACATTTTGTGAGAGAACTGTGGAGAGTTTTGATTAATTAAGAAGAAGCAAACCCTGTAAGGCAGTCCTTATATTGAGAATGGGAGTTTATTGTGCCTTTGAGATGAGCAGAGTACTGGAAGGGGCTATGGAGAGAGGGTCTGTTTAAAGGTACCAGCTTCATATTTGTAATGCCTAATGTGTATGTGGTTTGACAGTTTTTGGAGCCCTGCTCATATTTTTCTTCAAATTATATCTGAGAGTACTTCAGCAAGATTATGGAAACTGGAATTAAAAGACAAATTAATCTTGATGCAAAAAATTTCAAGAGTCTATGCATACAAGGTGTCTGAAAAAGTTAATGGAGAATGTGTATTATGAACAAATTTGCATGGGTTTCAAAAATTTTTGCATCAAAATCAACTTATCTTCACTTCCATTTTCCATGAGCATTTTGAGGTATTCTCACAGATTCTAGTTATTAACTGCAGTTTCAATTAGACAAAACAGGGAGAATGAAGCCTACCTTCATCATAAGATGGTCAAGTCTTACGTCATTTCCTGAAGATGAAGAAGATTTTACACTGGGAGGATTTCTTGTAGATGTATGGCACTGACTTACTTTCCCTGGGAATCCTCAGAACAATATAAGCTCCATTTTTAGGTCATGATTGGTGTCATTCATCAGCCTACACTCAAACGACAAAGTCTAATGAATGTCTGAGTATGTAAGTCCAGTCCCTCTTGCAAGTGTAGTGGAGAAGGTGTAGGCGTTACTGTCAAGCGGCCTTGCTTGGAATCCTGAGTCCATTCCTTGCCGATTGTGCATCCATGAGCAGCAACTCAACTTGGCAATTATGATTTTCTTTATCATTGTAGGTAGTTTGAGAGGTATGGGATAATACAAAAATATCTCCATCTCATAACTGGTACCCATTTCCTTAATGCCTTCCTTGGAGTCCTTCATCCCTTTCTAACATCCTAAAATTGAAACTTGTCAACAAGAGAGAATGTGGGACCAAGGAAGCTCAATTTGAGATTCACGTTCCCTAAGTGCAGTAGACCTCGTATAAACTCTTAGCAGCATTTGTGTCTCTAAAGCTAGTTAAATCAGTCAGGATCATGGATCATCCTTGATACGGTTGACCAGATAATACAAAGAGAAATGTCAGATTAATCTCTGTGATTTATAGCTTGAATTAAATTTACATATTCAATATGCAGGAGTTTTTGGTAAATAGCAGGACAAGGTTACAGATTTAAAATCCAAAGATGGCATAATGATAAGAAGAAAGTAATGGATTACGCCTTCAACATAGAAGGAAAAACACTTTGCCCTGATTTTCCCATGTGACCAGTTTCATTTAACTTGTCTTTCTTTAAATACTTTCTGATGTTTCCTTGATCAAGCCTCTTTCTTCCATAGAAGATGTGTTCAACATAGACCAACCTGTTTCTCTTTAACAGGGACGAGTGATCCATACGTGAAGTTTAAAATTGGAGGAAAGGAAGTTTTTAGAAGTAAAATCATACACAAGAACCTCAATCCTGTTTGGGAAGAAAAAGCCTGCCTTCTTGTTGATCATCTTAGGGAGCCATTGTATATAAAGGTGAGACACTGGTTTGTTTTCTCTAATGGAATCTGACATGGAAATTTCCATGCGTGGTTTTTTATGGTGTCTGTCTTTCCGATGGGATTTTTCTCCAGGGGTGTATTCTGATCTTCGTGATCCTATTGCGCATGTGATGGAGGTGGGAGTGCAGAGAGGTGAGCTGGCCTTCAGGACAGGACTGCTCCCTGTCCTTCGGGAGGATTTTGCAGCACAGCTCCTCCTGAGCGGTGCTGGTGCTGAGTCAGCGCACACTGGGAGCCTGTGGATGAGTCTCCATGTGACTTAGCGCGCTCTCTCTTTCCAAATACGTTATTTAAGATTTACTGTTCCTGGAAATGTAGTTTAAAAATGGGTGTCATAAAACGATAGGTTGGGGAGTAAACCAACGAATAAAAGCCTGTCTGTCTCCCTCCCTCCCTGTCTCCCTCCCTCCCTTTCTTCCTCCTTCTCTCTCCTTGTTTCCCTTACTTTCTCTCTCTCCCTCCCTCTCTCCTTTTCTTTCTCTCTGTTTCCCCACTCTGTTTCTCCCTCTCTGTCTCTCCCGTCCTCCCCCTTTCTCTCTGTCTCTCCCTCTTCCTCCCTCCCTCTCTCCCTCTCTCCCTCTTGGTTGCTCTCTTTCTCTCTATACCCCTCTCTGTTTTCAAATCAATTATTTTCAAATCAATTACTTAATTTTTTTAAAAATGCTGTTAAGAAAGTGAGGAAGAATTTAAGGAAGTTACAAACTGAATGCTTGTTAGAATCTTAATTCTTTTCTTGTTTTCAGACCTCAGTTCTCTTTCATTCATATCTCTGCACATTTATATTGGGTGTACTTTGCTCTGACAGTCTGTTCAGTCACCCAATCCTTTTCTGTTACCGCAATACTCCAAGCTCTCCCTTTCTCTAAATTACCACGGTCGCCACTTGAGCCCAAATCTCATAGGATCACTCAGCAACTGGGCTTTTCCCTTCCCCTCAGATCATCATTGTGTTGCCTCCAGTTGTCTCCCTCCCTCACACAAAGGAGAAGGGAATGTTCAAGATGACACTGACGCTACGGCAGAAGGATGGGTGTTTGGCTTAGAGGTTATGCCACTGGTGGGGACACGTGAGAACCTTATTGGAATGCTTGAATTTGTACTCGGCCCCAGCTTCTGACTCCAACTTCCTGCCAGTGCCTACTCTGGGAGGCGGCAGGGATGGCTCAAGTGGTTGGGTTCCTGCCACCCAGGTGAGCGTCCTTGGTTGAGGTCCCAGCTCCCAGCTTTGGCCCTGACTCTACCTCAGCTGTTGTCTACTCCCAGCCGGGGAGTGAACCAGTGGCTAAGAGCTCTCTCCATCTTTATGTCTGTCACTCTCTCAAATAAATTCATTAACTAAAAGTTTAAATAGATTTTTAAAAGAAAATTATGGCAGGATAATTTATGAGTGATGTAAAAAGAATGCATTACGTATACAGTTGCTAAGTTCCTGGAAATCTTTGTGGATAGAAGTTATTAAAGTGGACGGTGGCCACCAGAAATCAGTGTATGAGGTGTGTGTAATTATCAGTGTGAGAGTGTTCACCAAATAGTCATTAATGTGAGAGTGTTCATAACCACCCTTCTCCCACCAAAGGGGAGACTTTCATGGTCCAAAATGTTTTTTCCTGCTCCTTACTGCTCGAAAGAAAAAGCCACAGGAGGAAAAACCAATTAGCTTCTTTATCAAGAGCCGCATTGGGCGGGGGGGCGGGGGGGTGGGGGGGGAAAGAAAGAAAAAAAAAAAGCCAAGTGGGTTGTGAAGGAAATTTTACTGGGGGCAGATGGTCAGGCGAGATGTGTTCGAGCTGCTGCAGCTGGGGAGAAAATGGACGCAGAGAAACAGGTGCTAACAACGACAGCAGCCAACTGTTTGGATCTCATTACTGTCACTTCAGAGAGAAATCATGAAAGGGAAGGAATTCATTTTTAATCACTTCCATTGTGGATCCTCCCTTCTCTGGTGGGTTACTGCTCCATATAGGAAACATATGGATCTGCACTCTTTTTAGTTCAAATTTTATGTGTTTATTAGAGGGAGTATGAATGAATGACTCTCCCATACTCAGACTCACTCCCCAAACGCTGAAACAGCATGCGCTGGCCTGGGATGAAGCCGGGAGCCAGGATTCCATCCAGATCTCCCCTGTGACATCACCTGAGTCAGCACTGCAGCCTCTCAGGGTCTGCTTTAGCAGAACAATGGATTTAGGCGCTGGAGCCAAATATCAGGCTAACGAACTCTGATGTGGGATGCCTGTGTCTTAAATGGCATTTTTTCCCATTTTATTTGAAAGGCAGACACACACACACACACACACAGAAGAGAGAGGTCCTATATCCACTGGTTCACTCCCAAAATGCCTGCAACAGCCAGATCAAAGTCAAGAGTTTTGAACTCAATCTACTTCTCCCACGTGGGTGGCAGAAGAAATTGTAAAGCCACAATTTAACTTAAATCTTGCAGAAGAAGACACATGGTGAATTGTGCAAGACTTGTCACTTTTTACATTCCTACATAAGAAAAAGTGATTAGGTAAATAGAAATCTCACCGTTTTTTCTAATACTAGCACAAACTCAAAATAATATTCTATGCAATACTTTATACTTTTGTGTTTTTGAATTGATTTTCACTTTCTGTAAAATTCATGGAACTTCTTTTGACAAAATCTCTTTTATTTGTTTCTGTTCTCTGTGTTATAGCCTGATTTTGGACACTCAAATATCTAAAGGAAAAATGTTGGTTGAAGTGATATTTTAAGCTACTAGGATTTCAAGAACATGGCATCCTTTTCTTTTAAGATGTACTTTTTGTTTGTAAGGTAGAGTTACAAAGAGAGACAGAGGCAGAGAGACAATTCCATGATTGATTCACTCTCCAAATAGCTGAAAAGGCCAGGGCTGGGATGGGGCAAATCCAAGAGCCTGAAACTCCATTCAGGTATCCCATCTGGGTTGCAGAGGGAGGCCCAAGTATTCGGTCCATCATGCATTGCTTTCCAAGCTGCATTAGCAGGGAGTTGGCAATGCAGGGAAGTAAACCAAATTCCCACACAAAGATTGGAGCTCTTTATTTGTCTCTCAAATAAGTAAATAATTTTTAAGTGACTAACATGACATTGGAAGTTATTCTCCATATAAGCAGCCAACATTGGAAGAGAAAGTTGCCTAACATGGGTTTATGGGAATGTCCACATGGATGATCAAAGCAAGACCTTGTCAAGATTCTAAAACTGATATATAGGCCAACATCAAGGATGCTTGTCCATAATTTCAGGATTGTTGGCAAGGGTGACTTTTTAAAGATTTATTTTATTTGAAAGGCAGAGTTAAAGAAAGGCCGAGACAGAGAGAAAGAGAGGTCTTCCGTCTGCTGGTTCACTCCCCAGGTGGCCCCAATGGCCAGAGCTGAACCTGTCTGAAGCCAGGAGCCAGGAGCTTCTTCCAGATCTCCCATGCAGGTGCAGGGACCCAAGGATTTGGGCCATCTTCTTCTGCTTTCCCAGGCCATAGCAGAGAGCTGGATCAGAAGTGGAGTAGCTGGGACTCAAACCAGTGCCCATATGGGATACCGGCATTGCAGGCAGCAGCCTTACCCACTGTGCCACAGTGCCGGCTCCAAGTGTTTGTTTTTGTCTCTACCTCTCTTCCCCCAAATGTAAGCTCCAAGAAATCAAAGATATAGAGTGTTTTTTCACTGCTGATTCAATTGCCTAAAATAGTACCTGGCTCATTGTAGGTGCTCACCAAGTATTATTCAAATAAGTGCATGAATCATTTGAACTGCCAGTCAAAACTCCCTGAAGCCATAACTACCTATGGACATGGCCAGCATTTGAGCTAAAAATTCCTGTTCATATTGAGTTATGTTTTCTATGACTTGTATCCAAAAGCACTTTAATGGATGCACTTCCTGATTCAGTTTTCTTTGGTAGACCATTGAATCAAGATGAATTCATTGTTTAGAATAAGATATGAACTCACTTGAAAATAGAGAGAGGTATTATTGAGTTCCAAGCAATCCAACATGATGTTCCCTAAAGTTTCTGACTCACAGCAGAGGCTCTGTGGCAGTGAGACTCTCATCTGAATTATTCATGTTTGAGTTCCCTGGGCTCCTCTCAGAGTGGCTGCCCAAGATATATTTGCTAAATTTAAAACATGCTCTGTTTCTAAAACGCAATACAAGATTTGAATCTTGCCTCTTCCCAGCCCTAGGATGTAGGGGAAAGCAATGTCAACGTCTTCCCCTTCATATTATTTATCTGAAAAAATCAAAATAATACCCAGTTGACTGGGGCATGTAAGAATTCAAACTTTTTAATCTATATAAACCTGTAAATGTTGCATAAGCATTAATTAGTATTAGCTGTACTTACTGTGACTTCCTATTTCTGTAGCCCCAGCTTGCCTCATGCTCCCTCTGTTGAGTGGTTTGTAGACTTTTGAACCAAGTGGCATCATTTCATAATGAATGGGTTCTGGTGTGTCCATTCTTTACCATGTTTGTGCCTTTGCCAGTTAATGGGAATTGAGAACTAAAGCAAACATCAAGCCATTAGGGTAGAAGGGAAGACAATTTGGAGATTAGATCACCCCGTTGGGCCATCTACACAAAACTATTCCCTGGACCCCTGGCTGCTATGTGTAGACGGTTCCCCAGGCATTCTTGTGAATCAAGTGCCACCTGGCCTGTCCCCAAGATTTCAAGCTTTAGGATTATATGAATTGAAGAGATCATACATGAGAAATTTTTCTAATGTTTTGGTATGCATTTATGGCATAGAATATAGTACTGCTGTCACTTGCAAATATCATGGTGTCCATTGCATAAGATTTGCCATATATGCATGTGATAGGCCACCGAGTAGATGGCCAAAGCTCAAAAGGGTAATTGATCAGGGAGAATATTTATAGCAGGAGTGCTGAGCTTTCCACAGTATATGCATTCCTGAAAGATTGTTCGTAAAGCAATGACTGCGAACTGAATAAGTACAAAAGACTTTAAGGGAACTTAGTACTTAAATAAATCTCCTTAAGATACTTCAAATCTAAGAATCCTTTTGTAATGCAAAGTATTCATCTTTTGTCTAAATGTCATTTTTAAACATTTTTAATGGAAGTATACCTGTACTAAGGGGGAATAAAATAGCAGAAGCTGAACCTACTGTTTCCTCTGAGCTTTCTAACTCTTATGCCGAGAACTGGGTACAGGAGCACCTAGTGCACAGCTTCTGGGCCAGTGGGTACTACTGATGCGCTCCGATGCCTGGGAGGCTGCTGATTCTCTCAGCTTTGTGGATTCTCATACCCTGGAGAAGCCAAAGGCCTGGGTCGTCTGTTCATGAGCTGACACCTGTTCATGTTCATGGACTTCAGTACTGAATGCAGCTATTAGCTATTTGAAAAGTTCAGGAAACCAAGGTCTAAACTTCATCTAAGCGCATTTCTCATTTCCTCTTAAAGGCTTTCCCTGATGCCCCTTCTTCTTTCTTTTCACGATCTCTTTTCCCTAAGGCTCTTATCAAAAGTTTTAATTACAGGAATGGACATTTGGCACAGCAGTTAAGCCACCCACATCCTGTAGCAGGAGGCCTGCGTTTGAGTCCTGGCTCTGCTCCCTGCCCCAGCTACTTGCAAATGCACATCCTGGAAGGCAGCAGTGACAGCTCAGCTCTGGGTCCCTGATGTCCATGTGGTAGACCCTCATTGAGTTTTGGGCTCTTAACTTTGACTTGGCCCAGCTCTGGCTGTTGCAGGCATTTGGGGAGTGAACCAGCAAATGGAAGATCTGTTTCTGCCCACTCCCCCAACTGTGTGTGTGTGTGTGTGTGTGCGCTCTCAGATTAACTGAATAAAATTTTTAAATTTATAATATCACCTATACCTTTCCTTCTTTAACCTTTGTTGTCTTTGCTAAAGAATGAGCATTGACAGTATCAATTTGCTCACCACTGTTTACTCAATACCTAGCATACGATGAGCACATAATGAGTGTTTTGTCAGTATGGGCTGAGGGAATGAAGGAAGGGGAAAATTACTACACCGATGGTGGCTGGCCTGTTCCCATTTACTGGGAGTCCTTTGGAAATGACCCTAATCAACCAGGCTCTGGGCTGTCTCTCTAGCTGCCCTTCCATTCTCCGTCTCTCTCATTGACATCTTGCCTATCTGACGACATATTGGTCCCCTCCTTTGCTTACTGTTTGATCTGTCTGGAGTGCCGTTCCCCATACAGGATGGACTTGATCCAACCCAGTGTTCAGGAATCTGCACAAACACACTTTCTCACAGGGGTCTTCATGGACTCCCTATGTCAGATGTCAACTCCCAACACGCCCCTGAGTCTTTTCATGGCTCCATAGCTCTCATCACTGAACTCAACATGTGTCAGCATCTATGTGTATGTGTGTCTGTTTGTATGTGTGTGTTTCTGTGTGTGTATAAATTGACTGTCTCAGCTCCTCACTAAATGTAGTATTCAAGAAATCAGAGACTTTTCCCTTAGTCTGTTACCTTAGTAAGAATGAGACAATGCAAGACGCAGGCAAGGGAGTGGATGAAGAACATTGACAGAAGGAAGAAATGAATTCTCTGTTTTTCTTATTGTTTTGTTGTTAGTTATTAATGTGATCCCTTAGTAACTGTTTATGACAATAAAATCTTTGATTTAGGTTTTTTAAGATATATTTATTTATTTGAAAGTCAGAGTTCCACAAAGAGAGAAAGAGAGAGAAAGGAAAGAGAGAGAGAAGAGAGAGGAGAGAGAGAGGAGAGAGAGAGGAGAGAGAGAGAGAGGAGAGAAAGAGAGAGAGAGGAGAGAAAGAGAGAGAGAAAGAGAGAGAGTCTTCCATCCATTGGTTCACTCCCCAACTAGCCACAATGACTGGCGCTGCACAGATCTGAAGCCAAGAGCCAAGGAGCTTCCTCCGGGTCTCCCCACTGGTGCAGGGTCCCAAGGATTTGGGCCATCTTCCATTGCCTACCCAGGCCATAGCAGAGAGCTGGATCAAAAGTGGAGCAGCCGGGTCTCGAACTAGCGCCTATATGGGATGCCTGCACTGAGGAGGCAGCTGTATCTGCTACACCACAGCACCGGCCTTGATTTAGTTTTAATATAACTTTGCAAAGTGCTTTAATTATAATATCATGATTTTTATTTATTTGCGTTGTGTTTTTAAAGATTCATTTATTTGTTTGAAAGGCAGAGTGACAGAGATCTTCCATCTGCTCGGTCCCCAATGGCTACAATGGCAAGGGCTGGTCTAGGCCAGACCTGGGAGCCTGGAGTTCTGTCTGGGTCTCCCATGTCAACGGCAGGGACCCAAGGACTTGAATGATCATCTGACGTCTCCCAGGGTCCACAATAGAAGAAGCAGCTGGGACTTAAACAAACTGGACCTGTGATATGGGATGTCAGTGTCACAAGTGGTGGCTTAACATGCTGTACCACGATGCTGACTGCTCTTTGTGTGTTTAAAATGGCGTTTTCCTATAATCTTACAGTCTTTATCTTCAGTTACCTAAATATGAAGAACTTGTATTATCATCTCAGTACATCATGAAAAAGCTGTTGAATTTCATACTGATGTATGAAATTTTGCCTTCAGCCGATGTCAATCTCTTTTCTGTGATATGCAAAAAAAAAAATTCTAAGCCTGTTTCTCAGATTTTTTGAAGATTTACTGTATTCCATTTGATTTTGTTCCATCTTTGTAAAAGCTCCATTTCATATAAATCAATAATGTTAAGTAAAACAATGCAATGTAATTTCCTTCTGAATGTTTTATGAGCCCTTAATAGTCCAAAGCACCAAAGCAAATTTTTAAGAATTGAAAGTAAGGAGTTCTATTGTTTAGAGTGACAGAGACAACTATATTTTATAATCAAAACAGACATTTTTATCTATTTGTTAAGGAAATGGAACCATTTGTAACAATGCGTTGTCTCTTTGGCTTTGTAGGTATTTGATTATGATTTTGGCCTACAGGATGACTTCATGGGCTCGGCCTTTCTGGATCTCACACAATTGGAGTTAAGCAGGTAACTTCTGGATGGTTGTCATATGGCTGCACCTTGCAATACAGCTGGGCCTATTAATGGAAAATTCCAGCCCACCTGGGTTCTCATCACTGTTCTGTCTTTCATGGCTGTGAGCCTGCCAGCCAGCCAGCCCTTGTCAACTCCACCTTTCTCACCTACCCAGGTGCAGTGAGAACATCTTCTTTGACTACCTCATTCAACAGCAGCTCTCCCTTAGTAAAATCCATGGTCACCTATTCTGGGCCCTGACACGGTGCCAAGCACTAGGAATCTGGAGATAAAGGATGCATTTCTTGGTCTGACATTGCTCAGATGATCATAAAGAGAAAGATCTTCATCCATTGGTTCACTCCCCACATGGCTGTAACGGCTGGTGCTGGGCCAGGCCGAAACAGGAAACAGGAGCTTCATCCAGGTCTCTCATGTGGGTGGCAGTGACCCAAGCACTTGGGCCATCTTCCACTGCTTTCCCAGGTGCATTAGAAGGGAGCTTGTTTGGAAGTGGAACAGCCAGGACTTGAACCAGTGCCCACATGGGATGCTGGAGTCACAGACAACAGTTTTACCTACTATGCCACAACACCACCCCAGATTAATACATTTTAAAATCCCAAGTTGGTGTATGCCCTTTCACTCTACTCATCAATCACTAGTCTCTGGGTGTGGTGCATGCATAATAATAGTGGTCATATAAATACTTATGCTGCTATGGAAAGCAGTCAGTTGTGTGTTTCTTTGCAAGAAAACAGTAAATGAGTATCCTAAAGCAATTGCAAAGGTTCTTGAGTCTTTACTGTGTAATCATTGTAAATATGTAATGAGGTTTCCCCATTATTTTTTTAATTTTCCGATTTTTTTCTAATCATTACAAGAAAATAAATCTAATTATAGCCCTGTATTTATAGAAAGATACTAGAGGATTTCAAAAAGTTCATGGAAAAATAGGTTTTAATTCCTCTACTTCATGAACTTTTTGTATTTTTTAAAAATTTTTATTTATTTGAAAGGCAGAGCTAGAGAGAGAGAGAGAGAAACAGAGAGAGGGCTTCCATCCGTTGGTTCACTCCTCAGATGGCCACAACGGCTGGAACTGGGCCTGTCCAAGCCAAGGAGCCAGGAGCTTCTTTCACGTGTCCCATGCAGATTCAGGGGCCCAAGGGCTTGGGCAGTTCTCTGCTGCTTTCCCAGGCCATTTGCAGGGAGCTGGATCAGAGGTGGAGCATCCAGGATTTGAACCAGCACCCATATGAGATGCCAGCACCACAGGCGGTGGTTTTGCTGCTATGCCACAGTGCTGGCCCCATCCACAGACTTTTTGAAGCACTCTCTTTTCATGCATGTGTATGCTCTAATGCCTAATGTGATTCTTAAAATAAAAAGAACAAGTTGTTACTATCGAATCACAATGATTATTAGTTAATTTTAAATTAATATTAGAACAGTTCGTATCATAACTGATATAACATGCATAGTAGCAGTCTGACAGGTTGCTTATAGTGCAGCTAAAACTCTGGATACCAGAAAATTGTATTTTTCATTCTATCACTCCTTGGCTTGATAAATTAAGCATCATGTGAAAGATTTCTTACTATCATAAAATCTTAGCATTGAAACATACCTGTGGTTTTTATTCCTGGCTGTGGGAGGAAATCATTTGGGGAGCTTTATAAGTACATAGACTTCGAGCCGCCAGCCCTGATCAACAGACAGAGTCATTGGGGTGGGGGTCAGCTCGGGAATATGCACTTTGTTCAAGCTTGCCAATGGATTTGGATGTTTGGCCAGGATCGAAAAACTCTTGCTTTTACCCAGCATCTAGACCTTCCCTGCGTGCTTCATACATGCTTTGTGGGTAGAATGAATTCCCTTCTGCCAGCTTTTTCAGATTCTGGGTATTCCATAGACCCTTAGGTTTGCAGGACACTAACTCTACAGGGCACTAACCCCTGTTCGACATTAATTGAAATATGCAAGCAAGGTTATACATTGGCAGTTGGATATGCATTTCACATTGTTTTTTAAAAGTTATTGTGTACAATATTCATGGACTCTTCATTAGAGTTGCTTATCTAATTCCAAAGCCTATGTTACCCAATTCTAGATATTGATTTACTTGTCGTTTAGCATCCAAAAATGTCTTAGGCATACACTTAAGCAGTTAAAAACTAAAAATATCATTTTAAATATCAAATATCCTTTTCAATAATTATGCCTTTTTTGAATTATGCCTATAATGTATGAGAGTACACGCAATTAGAAGATAAGTTTAGTGGTGGGTGTTTGGATCAGCAGTCAAGACGCCACTTGGGTTGCCTGTATCCTATAATGAGTGTCCAGTTGAGTCCTGCCTCCTCCCCTTATAATTCAGCTACCTGCTGACCACACCCTGGGAGAAGGCAGTTGATGGCTCAAATCTTTGGCTCCCTGCCACTCACTTGGGAGACCTGAACTGAGGTCTGAGCTCCTGGTTTTGACCTGACCCAGCACAGACTATTGTGGGCATTTGAGGAATGAACCAGCAGATAGAAAATATCTCTGTGCCTTTCTCTTTCTCCCTCTCCCTCCTTCTCTCTCTCTCTCTCTCTCTTTCTCTTTCTCTCTCTCTACCTTTCAAATAAAGTACAAAAAATTTTTAATTGATTTTGGTGCAAAAAATTTGAAATCCATGCATAGTTTTTTTCAAAACATACATTTTCCATGAGTGCTTTGAGGAATCCTTGTATGTGGGGCAAATTATGTTTTCTCTTTCCTCTTCTCCCATTCACCTGTTTAAGTCACACTCCTGTTTTAAAAATCCTAAAGGACTAAAAGCAAGTAGTAAATAAATGATACTCATTTTATAGCTGGACTCAAATTTATAGAAAATACTTGATTCTTCTCTCTCTGGGTTTAGAGCTCAGAGAGAAAGGACTTACAGGTTTTTCAACAGTGTCATAGTTCCTTGGCCTTTTCAGCAATTTTCTAGAACCCTGTGAAGAGTAAAATTTATCCAATGTATCAAATAATGCCCAATTGACCCACAGACTATTGGATAAATTAATACTCTTAATTTGGTGATATCTTCATAACAAAACTTGTGCCAAGAAAGTAAAGGAGGACAAAGTCACTTTTGTTCTTTAAATAATAAATCATTGGTAAAAGTATATTTTGGTTTATTATTTAACTACTGCTCACAACCTAAGTATTTTATATCACAGGCCCACAGATGTGACCTTGCCGCTGAAGGACCCTCATTATCCTGACCATGATCTTGGAATCATTTTGCTCTCAGTGGTTCTCAGCCCTAAAGAAGGGGAATCCAGGGATGTGGTAAGTTGCCCCACAGCCTCATCTGAGCTCTCCTTTCCTGCTCTCATTTGTTCAAATGTTGTGAGCTTTCCTGTGACCCAGAGATAGCATTGAAGAGAAGCTGCGTATGAAATCCTGGCCTGTCCTTTGTTCTGTGAGTATCCTGCCTATCACCGGTCCCTGCTTATTCCGTCTTTTCAACTCAACTTCCCTGTTCCACACTCCGGATCAGAACCTCTTGTTGTAAATCAGGTGTTCCTTATCTGTCGACTTGCATCTCTTATCGTAAGATTTTTATTTCTCCATTTCAATGATGTCTTCCACTCAGTATTTATTCAGTGAATACATTTATTAGGGAATTGAGTATTGGGAATATTAGTGAATTGAATATTGGGAATTCCACATTGAGATATACGGACCCTACTGTTCTAACTGTGTTACTAAGTATACCATGACAAAGAAGAGGCGCTAAAATTATAACAGAGTTTCTGCTCTCTGGTATTTGTTTACTGAATGCTAAGTGACTACTCGTCTTCTGGATGAGCTTGCATACCGGTATCACTCATTTGTTAGCACTGCTGTCTTCCTTGCACACCATGCTGCTATGAGAAACTGACAAGGGATACTGAGAAGCCAATTACTCCTGTACTGTGTAAGTGACATTGAAAAAGATCAGTTTCGATCCACATCAGTATGCTTACCAGTGCACCTGCTGCCACATTTTACCAGAGATAATTTATTAGGCTCACTGTGCATTCATATACCTGGGAACTACTCTAACCAGCTCTGGTTATGACATATTTTAGTGATAGGCATAATTTTTAAGGCAAGTTCAAGTATCTGTTTCAGCAATGTGTATTTTGCTGTTCTAAAAGAATGCCCAACTCAAGTTGGTATATATTGTCTGCTGAAAAGGTATCGGCGACAGGTCCCACAGCTTGCAGGTGAAACTAGTGAATTCCAGTTTCAGCTTTGGAAGTGTTCTAAACTGATTGAAAAATCCACCCTTTCAAGAAGTATTGCTCTTCATTCTTTAAAAAAAAAATGAACACATAAATTCATTCATAATATTTGCTAAATATGGTGAAAATTCCACACTTTATTCACTGAGGAAGAAATTTTTCTTTTCAACAACTATTGTCAAATACTACCTACAGTGAGAACTTAGCATGGTGAAATTATATACACATGTGTGCTGAGGGAGAGCTGAGCGAGGAAGATTTTCTAGAGAATGTTTAGAAATGGAAGCCCATCATTTTAGAGAGCATGAATTCAGTAGATATTATTTAACTCAACACACACAAAGAAGTCTATCCTAGCTGGCCAATCATGCATAGGAATAAGTTATAAATATTGATTTTTGCTCTGTTCAAGTAATTCTGGTATTCACTAAGAGCCTGCTATAAACTAGTTCCTGTGCTAGATACTAAAAATAAAATAGAACACTGGATCCAATTTGGTGATCAAATAATAACAGGAAAAAGTATAAAATGGCAACTTTTTTTTTTTTTTTTTTTTTTTTTTTTGACAGGCAGAGTGGACAGTGAGAGAGAGACAGAGAGAGAAAGGTCTTCCTTTGCCGTTGGTTCACCCTCCAATGGCCGCCGCTGCAGCCGGCGCACCGCGCTGATCCTGGCAGGAGCCAGGAGCCAGGTGCTTTTCCTGGTCTCCCATGGGGTGCAGGGCCCAAGCACCTGGGCCATCCTCCACTGCACTCCCTGGCCATAGCAGAGAGCTGGCCTGGAAGAGGGGCGACCGGGACAGAATCCGGCGCCCCCACCGGGTCTAGAACCCGGTGTGCCGGCGCCGCAAGGTGGAGGATTAGCCTATTGAGCCACGGCGCCGGCTCAAAATGGCAACTCTTTTAAGTGCCATGAAAGTTAGCCATATATTGATGAAGAGCAATTATAGGAAAATTTGTTCCATTCTGGAGGACAGGTTTTCTACAAGGAAGTCAAATGGAAGCTAGAGTACAAAGTGTGAGGTGGAGCTAATAAGGCAGAAGCCAGGAAAAGAGAAGGCATGTCAGAGGAAACAATGCATGCAAAAGCCCTGTGGCTGGAGATCATTCCAAGAACTGATAAGCACTGGAGCTTAGAGCAGGTGGAGGTCAAGACCATTCAGAGATCTTGGTGCTCGAGGCCTCTGGAGTGAGAGGGAGCTCAGACTCTACAGAGTCCATTGGCCTTGCTAAGGTTTATGGTCCTTTCCCAAGAGCATCGAGGAGCCATTGAAAAAGTCTGCCAATGGGAAGTCTCAATCATATCATTTGTCTTGCAATATCTCCATATTTCTGCATTGTAGAAAACAGATTGAAGGAGTAAAAATGGGTAATTGGAGACCAACCAGGTTGCTGTTCTGTGGATCCAAGTGAAAGATGATGGAGATTTGAATTAGACCTGTCAGAGGATGAGATGGAGGAAAATCTGTAGGCTTATCTGTAGGAAGTAAAACCAACGTAACTCAGTGATAAAATATTCTTGTGTTGGGCTTCTTGTTATGTTAATGAAGAGCAGCACTTCATAAATGAAAATACTTAAGTACCTGAGCTCCTGTGTGTCCACCAAAGCATCCAAACGTGGCAATATTACTGGAGATTGCAAGGGGACAACAGTTGCTATCGTCTTTTGGGTGATTTGATGTTGGATAGTTTGCTAAATTTTCATATTAAATATATCCTTATTAAATACTCTGGCCTCAAACTGAGCATTTGGGGGATCCAGTCACTGTTAGGAGATCTGATGATTAAGCTACTGAGTTGTTCTAAATTATGTAGAAATAAGTGTCAGCACAGGCAAAGTCGTTCCCAGCATTATTTTTTTCTTCACAATCCTTATAAAAATTCTTTGATCCATGAATGCTCACAGTTTTTAGGTACACCTTCCTCATTATAAAAACATTACCTAAAAATATTGTAGCGCATGGGAGTGGATTATTACTGAGTTTTCAAATATGAATAGTGGAAAAAAATGAAGAACTTGAAGGAGTTACCCATCAAAAATCTGGTTTTATTTGTCTTCTTTGCTCTTTTTTCCTTTCTCTTCATCCTATCTCTACAGCCACATCCACACTTATCTAAAGAGTTCACCCTGATATCCTCATGCCATTTTCTTGACTCAAATCCTTAGGCTACCCTAGATTTTTGGGAAGAAATTCTTTACTGCCAGGTGTTTTTCATTCCAACTTCTCGCCCTCCCCTTTCAGAGCCCCTGATGGTCCTGGATTTATCCCGTTGCCTCAACTGGGATATGAGGTCCTTTTTCCTCCCATTGTATGGTTGACACTGCCTGGTTTCTTCTTCATCAAATAATCAAGAAGCTTATCCAGGGCTCAGCAAGGGCACGGAGGCCACAGTCTTTCCCAGAGCCAGCCTCTGGCTGGGAAATACTTCCCATTGTGACCTCTGTCACACTCAAGGGAGTAGAGAGAAGGGTGATCCGTGGGGCTACGCTCGCTCATCCCTGTGGGTGTCATCAAAGCTGGGTGGGTCCTGGGCCTGGTTGTGGAGAAGCCAGCTGGGTGAGGGGGAAGGCAGATGGGAAGAAAGGTGCCCCAAAGGAATCGTCACTGGGATCTATATCCTAGCTAATATGTTGTCTAGGATTTGAATGTAGGTTTTGAAATGTATGCCTTGCTCTATGAAAATTCCCAACAAACACATACAAACTTGCTTTTTATTTCTGTGTTTTGTTTTGGCCTATTTGCCATTCTACGACTATTTAATTTAAATATCTAAAACTAGTTATTAGATTTATGAATGCCCATCATGAGGTTTTGAAACTCTGAACAAGGACTATCTGTAGGCATCTATTAAAATAATTGATCATTTGCCAGGCATCGTGCTGGGTGTCCCATCCTGCCTCCTTTTTCTTCCATGTGTCCGGTGCCCTGATTCCCAGAGACTCACGATGAGGAGCTTTGCATCTCCCCAAGAAGCAACACGTGCTCCCTCACTCACAATCCCTGTCCCAGCCGTAGAAACTCCTTCACGGTTCACCATCTCTTTAGTTTAAGCCTTCTTTGGTGTCATCGACCTACCTAAAATATGCCTGACCTTCCCCTCACGTCCACCCCATATTCCTTCACTTCTAGGGATCAGGGGATATGTGCATAAAACCTTTCTTCCGGTGACTCCTCTCGAATCCCAGCCTAAGAACCTGGTTGTTGTCCAGTGGGTTGGAGGTGAATCTTTGTGAGGATTGGAAGGGATGCTGACAAGGACCAGGGGAGATATTTTAAGTTGTTTGCTCTTGCTTCAATATTCAAATCCCTGTGGTTGTCATATCTTAACTCATCATTAAATAATTTAATTTTTGGTTTTAATTTTTTTAAGATTTAGTTATTTATTTGAAAGGCGGAGTTACAGAGAGGCAGAGTTACAGAGAGGCAGAAGTGTATGTGTGTGTGTGGTGGGGGAGGGGTCCTCCATCCGCTGGTTCACTTCCCAAATGGCCACAATGGCTGGGGCTGTGCCAGTCTGAATCCAGGAGGCTGGAGCTTCTTCAGGTCTCCCCCATGGTGCAGGGGCCCAAGCACCTGAGCCATATTCTGCTGCTTTCCCAGGCCATCAGCAGGGAACCAGATCATAAGTGGAGCAGCTGGGACTTGAACCAGTGCCCATATGGGATACTGTGGCTTTACTCGCTATGCCACAGCATCAGCCCCCATTTGTAAATTCTTAAAATTGGTGTGTTAATAATGATCATCTGCTTAAATCAATCTAGAGGGCTCAAGGCTTTCTAATGATGGCAATGAGTTATAAGCCCTTCACTGTATTTTCTTCATTTTTAACATGTCTTGTGTTAGCCAAATGTATTTCTGTGGGCTCTATTTGAAGTTTTGTAGTTAAAAACAATCAGAGATCCAGCCTATCTTCAAATTAAATTTTCATATGCCTGAAATACATAACATATTTCTGCAGTGAAAATGGCATGCTGAATTTTCACAAATTACCCAGCCACAAATCTTATTTTGAGAAATTCAAATTAAAAATGCAGAAAACCAGAAATCAGTTATTGAATATGTCTCAATCCATTTAATATTCAGAATGGTATATTGGGAAGGAATAGAGGGTTGTTTTGTGTTTGCTCTAGTACACTACAATTAAAAGAACAGTTCTGTTCTCTTCAATTATTAGCTTACAAATAATTTAAGCCTTTGGGACGGATGAATTTTAGTTCAAGAGCCACACATTTATTCTTATGCCTGTGTTTATAAAACTTTGCTAAATATTTTATGTGTTTTAAAATGGAGAATGGAAAAGATGAGTTTCAAGAGCCTCTAACAGATTAATCCAAACAATCAAATAGGACAGAAAACATTAATGTTAAGCAAAATTCAATTTAAAAAAATAGGCAGAAATGAATAACTGGAAATACAGAGTACTTAGCATTACAAAGTGCTAAGATTTCTAAATTACTTATCTGGTGGGTTTTTGGGCACTGTTAAATACTGACAATGCGTTCCATGAATAATGCAGTTGAGATGATTTCTCCTTGTGTGGATTGCCAGTTTGGGAAATGGTTAACACTGAAACAGGAGTTGAAAAGCTTCCTAACGCCTCTAAAACAGGCAATGTCTAATTAAAGCCATTGAAGACATGTGTTACGAGTAATAGCAAATATATTTCAGTTTCCTATCGTAAAATCTTCTCCATTGACTTCAGGATTGAGTCTTAAAAAATCCAGATGTGAACAAATGTGCATTTTTCTAAGTCTCCAGCATTGTGTGTATAAGAAACCAAAACCAATGTTCACGGGAGCATGCCAAGAGCTGCATGGCACAAGTGTCACTTCTGTCTTGGTTGCATGTCCTGTTCTTTAAGCTGCTAAAATGTGTAATGCATAAATGTGTGTCCTATGTATGGTATTTTAGTCTGATAGTGTGTTTGAGTTCTTTCTGGCTCTTTTTCTAGCAGAGTTCAATCCACAGCTTTCTTCATTGGAGAATCTGTGAAATAAAAGTGAGTTAATTTGTGTTACACACTCTGTTAGATAACCTAGACCTACAAATTGCTTGACTATGGTTTAAGAAGTAGAAAATTCACAAAACATATGAACTGCCCTAGTTGATTTTAATTAGTTTAGAAATATATGTTTCATAGTGGTTTATTTTTTGCATTTTTCACAATTATTATGTAGTCAAGAAATATACACCTATAAAAGTTGAATATGTATATTTTAAGACATATATTCTGTATTTTTTGTGTATATAGTAACTATATAATTGCCTTAGAAATTCACTACAATAAAAGATGAAAGTAAAAAATTGGATTCAGATTGTGGAATCTTAAAAAATTCCCTTCTGCTGTTTTATCACCAGCCATAGTTTTATGCTATTTATTCCTTTTATTGACTTTAAGTAAGGCTTAGCTGCTAATGAGAAATTTGAATTATACTATAATAATAACATTCAATACTGGCAGCTTTAGAAACTAGTTCATATGTTTCTCAGCTGAACTTAAGATCGTAGAGCAAAAAATTCTACTCTTCTAGAATTTGCTACATCTCCTGTGCGTAACCTTCCATAAATAATCTTTCTGACATCTCACAGTGCTGTTAGTGATATTGATAATATATTTATCAAAATTCATATACTTTTTTATCTTTCTAATATTGTCAGTTTTATTGAGCTTACCTTAACCCAACTATTATTTAAAAAAAAAAAAAAAAGCTAAGGGAGGTGCTTAGGAGTAGAATTCTTGAACCCATGGTGGATTTGGCCCAAGAGGCAGGAATTTTGTTATAAAATCTAGGGTCATTCTGAGAGTCACTGAATCTAATAATAAAATTTTAGGGACTGAATCAGGAAATTAATGAATTGGTTCTTGCAACTTCCAAATCTTTCACACTTATACTTAGGGAAATCACTGACATTTTGCTTGTAGCAGTTTTTCCATCTGAAAAAATAAAACCATACATCCTGTTGATAATGCTGACTCTGAGATGCAGGAAGAGTATCAGCCTTCTGTTTTGTCTTATATGTGGAAGATGAACTGTATGCCGTGCTTCTGAGTCAAGGGCATGACCTTGCCTGCAGTATTGAATCCTTGTGTTACCTGAGATTGCATTCTCCCTAAGCCTCTTTCTCAGAGTGCAGTATCTCCTATAGAATATAAGTTTATAGTAGTCTTAGATGTTAGATGAAGATGATAATTCTCCTGAATGAACAGATTTTACTTTTTTGTTTATTAATCTTAATTAACTTGAAGTATTGTCCTTAGGAATTACTGCTCTCTGTCCACTGGACCTCTGCTTCCTCAGAAAGTTGGGCATTTATTACCCGACTTCCAACAGGCAGTTTTGTGAATATGATGTGCTGGGGAAGCATTTGCTTTCCAGTTGCCTGTTGGTGATGGTAGAAAAAGTACTATTAATGATTATGATAATTGACTTAATATCAGCCACAAGCATTTATTATATGTCTATTAGGTGTCCATCCCCATTCCTCAATGGAGGAATTTGTTACTTTAAAATTAGGTGATGTTAGTACTCAGAAAACATAAAATAATCTCTTAATAGCATTTGATAATGATGGTTTACAACTTCCTGTATTTGGTGGGGGTTGGCGGAATGATGAGAAAGTTATTGTAACCTAGGAAGTCTATTACTCTTCCACATTTTGGTCAATATTTAACACAGAATATATGAAGAGAACAAAACTCACCATTTACAGAGAGAAGGAATGTGTCATTACCATTGACAATTTTATGATTTTCCTAATGCCTACCTCTGCATAACTCCATTCTCTTGGTTTAGGTTAAAGATTGCCTTAGTCATTTTATGTCATGCCTTAGATCTCTTCTGTTTTGTATTTTTGTAGTCTGTGAGTGATTTCTGAAAGGGCCCATCTCTACGTTGAGTTCTGCTGGAAAAAAAAAAAAAAAGCAGTTGTTAGAGGCACCTGTGCATTTCCTTGCTAAACAACCATAGCAATCGTTTCTATAATCCATGTTCTTTGCCCCAAGCAGTCCCGATTCTCTGCTTCATCTGCCTTAAGGATGATAGTAAAATGAAGACTAAGCAAAGAGGGTAATCAAGAAGCTAAATTCAGTTAGGAATTTTTTAAAGTGAAGAGAAGAAAGACAATAATATTTAGCTTTTATGCTTTACTTTATTCAAGACACCAGTGATCTTAGACCTAATTCCAATCTCCAGAACCTGGATTACAACTTCTGGCCACGTGTCTTCCTTAATGACATAAACAAACAAAATTTAAAGGAAAAATTTTAATTAGAGACTTAACTGGAAGACGTATAAATAGTCATCACCGTATGTAGCGTTTTTCTCTGTTGAAAGCATTTGAAGACGCTGACGTAGTTAAGATTGACTGGAAGCAGCGGCAATCCTAAGATCCCCCCAGAAGAATAGTCTTGAAGTGTGTTTGAAAGGAGAAAATTATGAGATAGCCACTGAAGGCGTGTGCCTCCACAACCTGCACCGCCAGAAGGAATGCTGGTGAATCGCGAGACTCAGTCTCTTACTTCCCAGTCAACATAGGGTATTGAAAATTTCCATATCACGAAAAGATATTGTCCCATTATTTTATATCAAAAAAAGATAAAGTAACTGAACTCTCACCAGAAAGACTGCCTGAATGTTAAAGGTGCTCATTAGTCCTGTATGCGTGAGCAGCAATTTTTGTCTTGTGTAGTTGTTGCTGGAAACTGTTGGCTGTTTGAAAGGCCTAATACGTGTTGCGTTTCCACTAGAAAACAACTGGCTGCCCTATTCTGTACTTGAGTGAAAGATAATGAAAATGCTTTATTTCGTTTGCAGACAATGCTAATGAGGAAGAGTTGGAAAAGATCAAGTAAGGTAATTCTTAGCATGTGATCTTTCAGCTTTTCTTGTTGAGAAGAACTATCAAGTGCTTTCCCGAATCTCTCTCATACCTCCTCAAACTGTACCACAGAATTCCATCACTACTCAATGGTTCTTTTTTTTCCCCATAAACGTTAAGCAAATCATGCAATGCTTTTTAAGTGAGTAGAAATCACACTGATCAACAGCATCCTCAAATCATCCTCTCGCTAATCTCTGGTCACTTTTCAATGTCATTCTCAGCATCTGATCTCTGTTATGTGCACAACAGGGTCTAGAAAATCGCTTTGCTCCAGGAGTAAAACAATGAGGCCGGGGCAGGAGGAAAACTCCAGACAGAAGAAAAATCCATGCAGTGTTTTGTTTCTGTTCACAGAGAGTGGAATATGAGGTTTTCTAACTCAGAAATTCCTCTCTTGCTACATCTTTGGAGATACAATGAGGACAGTTTTCCTTCAATGCCTCTTTCACTTCAAGAACTAAATGAATCTTGGGAGTGAGGGAATGTATGGTTCTTGTAACATACTAAACCCTGGCTCCTTAACTTGTAAGATGAAGAAGTTATAAAGTTGGTTTTGGATGTGGTCAGTGGTGGTCTACCCCACTCATGGACACAGAAAAATAACAAGAAGCTGAACTTTGTTGTAAATAAGCCTCGAAATAATCAAAGGGATTTTACTGATAAAAATCTTGTTGGCTCAAATTTCTGCTTTAAAAGTCAACGTTTTTTTTACATTGTGACTAATTTTTTTAGACCCTGGAACATACCAATCGTTTTTCTTCCATTCTGATTAAATCATGCTATTACTTAAGTTCTTCTTTGATTTTGTCATCTTTATTACTATGATTTAAGAAAAAACTACTTCTATTGAAATGTTTTTTTTTATATTTGTGATAATGTCTTAATCTGTTTTTCTTAGTAGAGTGGTCCCTGAAGTATTATAGCATTAATAACCAAAAGGTAACTCAAAATACATCAGGCCCTCATTAATAATCACTTTTATCGTTTTAATAACATCAAAAAACTCTTAATAAGAAAAGTAATTGAATGTTTCTGACTCAGTACTCACTGTGTTTTTAACTAAAGAAAATTAATTTCCAAGAAGTTTTAAAGAAACTTTTTAGTTTTCATATTTTTATTACTTTTTTCTGTGATTGTACTTTACAATTAATGTTTTATTAAAAGTATATGTATTTTATCACTTCTCAGCCTTTTGGCTAAGATCAAGTGAAAAGTATATGTATTTTAAAACTTAAAACTTTCCTTATCCTTATTCTATTTATGAAAAAAAGTAGCAGTACATCAGTATGTAGCAATATTCTCTTTTCCAGATATATTTAATTTTTAATGCTAGCACAGGATATTACACAGCAGTCAGTATTAGTAAGGATGATCCATGTTTATTGTAGCTTAAAAAATAACAGAAATTAAGATTCTCCTTTAAAAATATACTCTTGATTTATATTTAATTTTAATAATAAATTACATAAAAATAAATAAACGAATTTTCCTTCAACGTACAAAAAATTTGAAATGAATAAGAACATCTATTTTTAACTAATTTTTTAAAGATTTATTTATTTACTTGAATGTCAGAGTGAGTGAGAGAGAGAAAGAGAGAGAAAAAGCAGAGAGATGGTCCCTCCACTGGTTCATTCTGCAATTGGCCATAATGTCTGGGGCTGGTCCAGGCCAAACCCAGGAGCCTGGGGCTCCATCCTGGTTTCTCACGTGGGTATTAGGGGCCCAAGTGCTTGGACCATCATCCACTGCTTTCCAGGGAGCTGGATCGGAAGTGGAGTAGCCCGGGGCTCAAAAGCATCACTCACGTGAGATACCAGCCTCACAAATGGTGGCTTAACTTTGCCAGCCCCTCAGTATTTATATAGCTACAAGTCTTGGAGTTGTTCTGTGCTGCTAATGATCCATTTATGCATTCACTCTAGTCTGTTTTCAAAGCTTGCTGGTAAAGATAAAGAATCCCTGTATCTAACTCAGTGCTCATTTAAGTGTGTGGTAGATTATATTTGGTACATGTGGCTTTGGGGTTTTAACATAAGGGTTTTTCAATTTTGTAAAATTTACTGGCGATACTGAGTGCTGAGTTCACTGACTTGGTTTTTTTCCTTCAAGAACGGACGGAACACTTGCTCGTTCATTCAGATTTTCACTGTGCTCCAAAACATGTGCCCATGTTTGTCTATCTCAGTGTTGTAAGAGTTCAGGGTTAAAGTCACAATCCAGGGAAGGCTTAGCATTCCAGTTACTTCTTAGTTCACTATCCTTCTGCACTGTAGCTGGACTCTGCCCCCAAATCCTTTCTTCTGGTACACTCTGCTTCCTGGAAAGCTAAGGGATAAGTCACTAACCCATGTAGTTCTCTAAGTTTTACTGAGTCCCTGTTTGGTGCAAATGCATCCCTTTTCCAATTACTTCAAACACCAGAATGCCTGCATCATCCCCTTACAGATTCTTGACCGAGGAAGGAATTTTCCTGTTTTGTTTTAGCAAAGAGGGTGTCATTAATTTGCATGATATTTGAATAGGGTTATCTCACACTGGATGTAGCTTTGCTCCCAGACAAAGGTGAAGTTTCATATACACACGTACACTTCTCTCCCTGGGCATCTTGACTTACAGGAATGAGCTCTCTTGTGTTGTTATGGCAGGGGTCAGTCATGCGGCCTTTCGTCTTGGCATGCCAAGGGCATGTGTAGAACCTGAAACTGATAAACGTGGCCGCACACACTGAGAGCTGGACAGCATCGGTAGAGATTCTTCTCAGTGTGGAGATCTTCCTCCTGGACTTGAGTTCTTTCAGAAGTCACATAACTACAAAGGAAGAAAAATTAACTTGACATTATTTCTTTAATACGCACGTCTCCCTTCTATCCAAGGTGCAACCACTCATGGAATTTCCCGTTACCTAAATATCTACTTGTCATTTTCATCATCTTGACGTGCTGTGATGACATTTCTGTCCTTGTTTTGGTTCCCACACTTCTGTCTTACTTACCATTCTCTCAATGGGAACCCTATTTGCAGCACTCACCCAAGGTGGGATTGCAGGTACTGTTGAGATCAATAGTTTCAGTGAGAGGACCAGGTGATCATAGTTGCTGTTCAGGATCAACTTATATATTATTTGGAGTAACTGTGTTACCACCTAATAACAAGTAGGCAAAAGGTAAGGGGAAACAGCTAAACTTATCTCTGAAAAGCAAGAACACATAAAAGTGTTGCTGTATTTGAATGGTGCTCATATGAGACCGCTGCACACTTACAAATCCTAAAACAGGTCCTCTTCCAGGAGGGGTAACATCCCTTCACAATTTCTGGTTTTCCACAAGCACCCTGTTCATCACACACATTTTAAAGTATGCCCCGCACTCAGCTGTTACAGAAGAACATTATTTTAAGAAGAGAGAGATTGATGTCTCCCTAAACCTGAGCAACTGGATAATTATCTCGGTCAAAGAGTTACATTTATGTGACAAAATGTGTTTTGGCAGAGAAATGGTAATGCCTTGAGTTATTGCAGCATTTTATTCTTTAGAGGAAACTTATCATTGAAAATTTATTCTATGGTTAAATTATTCATCAAGAAAGTTTTATGAGCTCAAAAAAGAACATTCATATGTATTTGTGAATAGATTCTGTGGGGCAAACCAAAAATGGCTCCATGCGATGGTTAGATGTTATGATTTCACACTGTATTGTGTGTGTGCGCCTGTGCTTTAATGAGAAAGAGTGTGTTTACCAATGGAAAGAGTGAAAGAATAATGAACTTATGTGCTTTCATTAAATTAATTATATGAGAAATACTGTTGTGATACTGTAAAGACAAACATGTTGCAATTCACATCCACAATAATAACAGTTTTGAGTTGTCTTCAACAGGTTCGTCCTTTGCATAATATAATATAGACCCCTGTGATATGTCTCATTACCATATCTGCTATTACTTGACAGCTTATGTCATCTTTAGTAATATTCCTTTTTATGAAGATTTTGTTATAATTAGTCTAATTTTACTGAACACTTTGTTCATTGGCTGAATGAAGCAATTTTTAGTAAGACTTTTGGCAAGGATAGCGTTAATTGAAACGAGAGAGGGCTTTCAACAAGTCTGTAAGGCGTAGTCAAACCTGACACCGTGGATGACACATTAAAAATGCATCCGTGAAAGCCTGGGAGTGCTTCAACTTAAGTAACACGGAGAAACAGATTAACACATTTTTTAATATCTCACACAGTCAGAATAATGAAAAAAAAGTCACCGCTTAACAATTATCAGGTCCTTGCTAGAGAAGCCTCATCTGTTGATCAGGAATAGTTGATTTTTTTTTTCAGCTGCAAAAGATGAAAACTTTTTGGTCAACCGTGCATAACCAAGAGGGCTTTAGTGTCTCATTTCTCATTTTACGCTTTTATGTTTTTGAAGGAAAAAGTAAATTTAGTTTTAAAATCCTTATTTTGCTGTTGTTTATACACCCAAATCTCTGTTCTTTGGAAATGCTATGAAGTTATCCTCATGGTTAAGACTCCAGCGATTCCAGAATGCAGCAATGAACAGCAGAAAGCAGTTTGATTATGTGTGGATTTTGACTCCAGTTCACCAAACTACTGAAATTTGGAGTAGGTTCTTTACAACACAGATATTATCATAATGCCAGTAAATATTTGATTATCCCACAAAATACATCAATCCATAATTAAATTTTATCTTGAGATGCTGTTTTCTTACTGTTTTCATATTTACCCATGGGCATAAATATCATACATTTTTATGTATGATAATTCATAACTCCAGGTATCTGTTGCAACAATGGCATTGCATTTATTTGAGTGCTCTTGTTGAATTTTTTAAGTGTTATGGGTCCTTCTGGGAACAAATCTGGATGAGTTGGCGCAACATGCAAGGGCAAAATATAATTTCAAGCAGAGAGTGGATTCCTCCATGCCTGGGTCCTGGATCTGATGACTGATTGGCCTTCACATGGCTACCCTATGTTAGAAGTGACCTGACAGGTTTCCCAAGATCCTTGTTAGGCTGGCCCAGGGGGCCTCGGGATAACACACCCATGGGCCTAATCTCAGATTACGCGGCCTTTTCATTAAAAGAAATAAAGTAGACGGTAAATAAGTAGCTAGGTAGGTCGGCAGGCAGGCAGGCAGATAGATGTTAAATTGGATGCAAGTGGGAGAAGATTTGTTGGTTTTAATGTACCCTAAATGTACACAATTAAAACAATTCTTAATTTTGTGACTTCTGTTTCCAAAGTCCTGGTTGACATAGCTGTTGATAGGCCTAGTTGACATCATAAGTCAACTCTGTTGGTAGGATAGAATGTCTAAGAGCCACAGCTTGTCATTTTTTTTAAAGATTTATTTATTTATTTGCGAGGAAGAGTTACAGAGAGCTTGAGAGACCAGAGAAAGGTCTTCCATCTCCTGGTTCACTCCCCTAATGACCACAACGGGCGGAGCTGAGCTGATTTGAAGCCAGGAGCTTCTTGTGGGTCTCCCAGGCAGGTGGAGGGGCTCAAGTGTTTGAGGCATCCTCCACTGCTTTCCCAGGCCATAGCAGAGAGCTGGATCAGAAGTGGAGCAGCCAGGACTTGAATTGGCACGCATATGGGATGCCATCACTGCAGGCGGCAGCTTTACCTGCTACGCCACAGCACTGGCTCCAAGAGCCACAGCTCTGGTGAACAGTGAATGCAGTCTGGCCAGGAAGTTTATGTAAGTGGTTTATTTGTGTACTCAGTCAGTTTTTACTCTTTTAAATGCCCAAAATAGCATTGACAAAAGGAAATTCTATTCTTATAAATACAAGCTTTATATTTAGGAAGGCCAGCTGAGTTGAGTCTTACATTTGAATCTGTAGGTTCAGAATTTCAATTTATTGTGAATATTATAAGTGATGAATTATAGTGTTTAAAAAGTGTACACATGAAAGTAAATTTTAAAATATCAATCAGGATTTAGTGGCTAATTGTTATTCTATCTGATAACAAAGTCTTTGAAATTTTCTATATTAATTTTATATAGCATCCCAGAAAATAGCATCATATGCATTTGTTAGGAAAAACATTAACGTTTAGTTTTATTTCCTTAAGAAAAGTTTATCTTAGAGGTTTTTGAATCTAAAATCTGGTTAATTTGTAGATGGTTACTGTGGTAGATTTTTGGAGACCAAAGTAAATCTAAATAAGATATGCTGAGTAGATGTTAATTACTTTAAAAAATGAGGGACCTCAGTAGAAATAAGTTCATTAGTTTGAATAACTTCAGTCATTTTCTGTTGTCAGTTGGGTGCCTCTAGTTTTTGTTTGGTTTCCTTTAGCTGTAACTGCATAATTTTAACGCTTTTTCAAGGGTACGTTCCCTCACATAGCCTCTTTCTTCATGAAGACTGAACTGTAACTAAATTGTGATCTAAGACCATTCTGCTCTGGAATTCATGAATCTTTTATGTTATTTTTCTTTCTCTCCACAATGAAATCAGCACTTTTGTTTAGGGCTCATTACTGTAATGCTAGGTGTTTTGTTATTGCTGCTGTTGTCATTGTTATTATCATTAGAAACTCTGGTGATAGGAAGGCCTTGGCTGACTTGTAAATTTCATGCCCACTCAGAGCGATAGATGACACAAGGGGTCACAAGGAGATTAAATCGTTTCATTTGAAATAAAGGCCTAAATTTACATGGGAATATGTGTTATAAAGTGAAATTGTTGTGGATGAATTGCAGAGGTAATTAAACATGGCATGAAAAGTACAGCCTAGGGACTTCAGTGGTTCCAATGTGGCTAATATTTTTGTTTCTCAAATTTTAAACAGAGAAACTTAAGTCCTAAATCTCAATCATTAAAACTCCCACTCTGCTCCCAAATTCATGAATCTCTTTTTAGATACTAGACACACAATTAGGTCAAGGCCCTCTGCTTTCGTCTCAGAAAGGTTGAAAAGAATGAAGTTGGTGCAGCTTCAATATTAATCACCTTAGACCACCTAAAACCCAAATGAATTAATAATACTCTTAAATGTTAAACGATTGCCTCATTTGCTAAAAATACCTTGAGTCCGGAGCCAAGAACTTTCATCTCTATTAAAGTTGCCTTAACACATTTACATTAAGATAACTCGCTAAGTTCTGTAACTTGTCATTGACTCAAGTCATATAGGGAGAAACGATTTGTATAAGACTTCAGACAGTAACTTTTGTATATTTGAACATTTTTAGACATGTTGCTAAATATACTGCTTAATTAAAACAATTGCAAATCCAAGTAAAGAGCACTGATCATTGAAAAGGAAAACACACATGTTCTTTAAGATGAAAAAGTAGCGTAGCATCAAAAAAACTGTAGTCACTACACCTAAGGTTGGTGCCCCAGAGTCCAAATACAAGTGTATTTTCTAGAGATTTTTTGGTTTGCTTAGAAATGGAAGTGATGCTAAAGTGTGACAGATGAAAACCATAGGTAGAAATATAAATGAATCATTACTCTGTAGTGATGGTAAAATAGTGTGTTAAATGCAAGACTGTTTCTTGATTATCTCTTGACATGAGTCATGCTACGTGACTGAAACTAATCCAAACTAAGAACTTGGGGCAAAGGTTACTGGTTTTATTATGGAATATTTTATGTTGGGGAGGGAAAGTACAGGTAGATTACATAGATAACCCTTGATGTAATTCTAAGTCTAAACTTAGATTGCTCAAAATTGCTAAACACCATAAAGTATTTTAGTTTATTATTCTTTTCTAGTATGATTTGTGGTATCTTGTTGACAAGGAGTATGTGCCCCCAACCACATGTCATTCTGAGTGACCAGCAGTCAGTCAAGAACTTTTACTGAGCATTAGGCATCACGGGAGGTGCTGGATCACTACAATTTCAGTTGCTAAGATGAAAATCATAGAATAATCGAGGTGGCGGCAACACTGCTTCCTGCTCATCTCAGCATCAAAGATCGATGCTTTCCCATAACTGTCATCAGTCTCCCATAACTTGATCATAACTCACACCCAGAGACAAAATGCAAACACCTAAAGTTCAAAGGAGGTAGGTAATTGAAATGATCTGTTTAAAAATGGCTAACTATATTTTTTACCTGCTGAATTGAAGTTGATTTGACTTTATAAAGATCTGAAGATCAGGGAATAAAATATCCAGCTTGAATCCACTGCTGTTTTGTAGCCTGTAGCCCCTCTTTTGCAACATTAATTTCTTTTAAAATTACTTTGGGAACACTCAACCCAGTCATTTACATTCTATTGTATAATTTTGTAATATTTTAATAAATAATATATTATAAAATTAGGAAATTTTTTGCAAGGAATTAAGCAAATTTTGACTTGGTACATGCTTATAAGTTAAGATTTCAACTATCTTTTTAAAAAAAAATGTTCTGAAGGCCTATGGCTAACACAATTATTTCTAACGGGGACAGATAAATCTTAGATTATGCTTAAACAGTTCTGCTTCCTATAATGAAACTTCAGATTCTGAAATTTACTAATCAACAATTAAGAAGAAAGAGGTAAGTGGACTCTTTTAAAAATAACAGAAGCAATCCTCTCTAAACTTGATTATCATTAGTATTACAGATGAACAGGAAGAAATTAATTTATTCTTAGTTTCTAAATATCCAAAGTATCTTTAGGACATACACGTTTTGGTTTTTAATTTGCTTTCGTTTTATTTCTTTTGGTTTTATTTGTTTCTGTTTAGAATACTAAGTATTCACAAAAAGTCTCAAAGTTTGGCTAAATATTTGTTTGTTTTTAGGAGCTCTCAGAAAATGAAGTGGTCGGATCTTATTTCTCTGTGAAGTCTTTCTTTTGGAGGGTAATGTTGAAATCCTTTATGTTAATATTCTTGATTTTTGGTTCTGGATAGTAGATCTGAAAGTTCAGTGTGAAGTAGGAATTATACTTTTAAATATAGGTTCCCAGAGAGATGTATTCATTTATTCTCTGGGTTAACTTTTATTCTTAATCATCTGTGTAACTGGCTCTTCTTTCTTCATCTGTCACACTCAGAACTTCATATACTTAGCATATTTTTTTGGTCATTTCTTCATGGGACCACGTTTATTCCAAATTCTTAATTCCGGAGACTTTCAAAGGATCTGATGGTGCTGTCTGAAGCCCCGTTAAGGTTCTTTTTCCCTTTTGTGAAGTGGGGGTAATTTTCTGTTCCATTTCTGTTTGGGAAGAATTTGTTTCTATTAACAATGATGTTACATGAGGTATATAGTAGCTATTTATGATACAATCGATATAGTCAACTCTGCTTTTGATTTAAAGAAGAGAGAAATGAAAATGTCATTGAGAATTTGTTTTAAATGCCATTGCAATTTCATTTACCCTTTGAGGACTTCAACATGATGAGCTCTGTCGTCCATTTTGTTTCTCTGCTGTAATTCTGCATGATGCACAGCACGATTTATGACTAACACACTTAGTACTTACCTTTAAGAGCACCCTTCTTTGGAAAATCCACATGTGATTACATAGCAGTAGAAATTGCAATAAAAATGCTGTATTCTTGCTGCTTGGTCTTTTTCCTTTCTTGGCTCTCAACCTGCTCATGACTGCAAACTACTTTTTTCCTTTAGAGTTTTAAGATTTGTTGCAGAGTGGTGGGTACCAAATTAAATAGCACAGCGGTCAGTGGGCACATACAAAGCACCTGTTCTCACTGCTCCTTCTACAACACTTTCTTCATAGCCTTTTACAGTTGAGTGCAGGTTTACAGCTGATGTAGCTTTTGCCTCTTCACTTCCTTTCCATCTACTGTCTGGGTGCCTTCACTGAAGTTATTCTGCAACGTTGCTAAAATAATAGTAATTATTACGTATTCATGGATTGTTGCTGAATACACAAGGTGACTATTTTTAAAAGGTTCCATAATCTTCAATTGGAGATAGCTGTTTGAAAAACTTCTTTTTCCCAGTGTTTTCTTAAGACCTACAGTAGTGATTTCATATGGCACTCTTGCTTGAGAACAGAATTAGAGGATGTCTTGTGTTAAGTTTGTTCCACTTGCAACGAATGTGCAAATGGATGGTTGTGAGCAGAGATTTGCTACCAGGGCCAACTCCATAATCAATACTTTTTTCAAGGGCTTCCTTTGCAGTGGCTCTTTCAACACCTTCTTTCCACTTTGCTATTCCCAAATTTGTCTTCTACTTGTCAGGACTTCTCCTTTGGCTGTATTCATTCCTAAATATTCTTTAACAACCTTTTTCAATCTCTGGGAGATTAACAAATATGCTAGCTTTAAAGACAATCTTTTTGTATCCAAGATAACAGTGATAACATCTTTTGCTGGGCATAAGACAAAAAAAAATGAATGATAAACCAACTGAGTCACAGAGACACCCCCTTTAGGGGTCGTCTAATTAGGCCCAGAGAAATGACATCACTGCCTACAAGTACCCAGATCAGGGCCAAATCTCTCCTCCATCCTCTTCCCTCCTCTCTCCTCCCTTCTCTTCTTCTCCACCTCTGCCTCCTCCTCCTCCCCGTCCCTGTCTCTCTCTCTACCTCCCTATCTCTCTCTCTCTCTCTCAATTTACAGCACTTGAGTTTCCTTTTGGGTTGCTAATGATAGAGTTGCCTGTAAGATTTTCTATCTTTTCAAATCCCCCCATACCATGTGACCCTTCTCTTTAGCCACCAAAGGATAGATGTATTTGAGGGTAATAAGATTGCCGTATTTGAGGTCCCATTTACAGGATTGGCAAATCAGTGGCCAAGTCTACTCTGAAAGAGTATGAGCTCATGGCTTCCCATTCAGAGGATGTTTTGACAACAGATCCCATTGCTCTTTCCCCGGGAAACATTGGTATTCTGAAGAACTTTTAGAGAAGATATATATGAAAGCTTTCCCAAAGATATTTTCAGATATGCCAGAAAACCTGACTAGCTCAGATAAAATCTTGCATGAAGAAATTCCATGTGTTTTGTGGATTAAACAGGATGTGATTTGAAAGAAAATTTATCAGCTTAATTTACAAGGATCAATACATATGTCTATGAGATAGCAATTGAGTTACACTAAATTCTGGTAAGAACCTGCTCTGTTGGAATTGTCACTGTTGTTTGTTATATCTTAATTTTTTTGAGAGCAAAATGATGGAAGGACAAAAGTGATACAATGATATCCTAATTTTCCAAAAGCATAACTGTGCTACTCAGTTTTTCATTACTACAATGAAGGCCCCAAAGCAGCTAACTTAGAAAGAGAAAAGAGTTACTTAGCTCGCAGCTTTGGAGACTCTAAGTCCAAATAGCACAGCTCAGGTTTTGGCTCTGGCCGGGGGCCCTTGGCCAATGAGGGAGCGCACTTAGAGGAAGGCTCACCTGGTGAGACAGGAAGTAGGGGGGCAAAGGGATCCAAACTCAGACTTTTCCAGCCATCTTCTCATGGGCACTGAAGAGGTCACGTGGAAACTACCTTCTGATGACGTGACCTCAGTGACCTGAGTTCCTCCCACTAGGCCTCACCTCCTAAAGTTCCCATCTACTCCCAGTAGTGCACCCTGGGGGCAAAGCTTTACCATACAGACACCATAGCTCAGGACCCACAACATTAAACAGTGCGTATGGCTCTTTGATGTTTCTCATGAAAACACTACAGTGTCCAGGAAATAGCATCAGCAGAATCTCACTAATAACTTTTAACTTCTCATTAAAGGGTGGAAACAATGCAGTTCTTTCCAATCTTAGCACACTCATTTCTTCCTAGTTCTCCCCACTGAGCAGTTATCTAGACTCTAATGGTTAATTAAATAAATCATCTTCTGAGGACATTGAGGCAAATTAAAGAGAAACTTTCATGTTTTTAAAGTGCAAAAGGCTAGGCTATGCCAAGATAACTCATATATAAAGATGAAGGAAAGGATCATAATGGGCAGAGTAGACAGAAAAATACAGAATAATTTGGAGTTAAATCAGTGCTCCATCTTGTGGCGGGGGCAGGCAGAAGTTGATAAAGAAGACTCCAGAGGGTTACTGACTATAAAACAATGTGATTCTGTGCTACAGCACTTGCATTTTGAACAACTCAGCTACATATGACAAGAAAGGTTCTTTTAAAAAAAAAGATTTATTTGTTTATTTGAAAGGTATTGAGAGAGAGAGAGAGAAAGAGAGAGAGAGAGAGAGATCTTCCATCGGCAGGTTCACTTCCCAAATGACTGCAATGGCTGCAGCTGGGCCGATCTGAAGCCAGGAGCCAGGAGCTTCTTCTGGTTCTCCCACATGGGTGCAGGGGCACAAGCACTTGGGCCATCTTCTGTTGCTTTCCCAAGTGCATTAGCAGGGAGCTGGATCAGAAGTGCCACAGCCGGGACCAGAACCTGCGCCCACATGGGATGCCAGCTCTACAAGCAGCTGCTTTACCTGCTACACCACAGCGCCAGACCCCAAGAAAGATTGTTATATTAATTCTGTTTTTAGGTGTGGAAGCAAGACTCATAAATATACTTGTTAATTTTTAACATCACAAGAGCTTTTTGTGCAAACATGACATTCTCATCCAAGTCACTTTTATGCACAGACACCCCACAGACTTGAGCTTACACACATTTCCCAATAGTGATAAGCCTATTTAACAAAGTCAACCATGACATTAATATTTCCTACATCAAAAACATTTGTAACCTCTAATCAAAAGTCTCCCAACAAAGGCCTCTGAAGGCAAACCCAGGATTATTATTCATTTCCCATGTCAGTGGTAGAAATTTGTAGAATATTCTAGCAAACCAACAAGATTACAATGTGCATGATGATTTTCTCTTCGTGTGCATTTTGAGCAAACAATAAAAGCTTAAGAGCATTTGGTTGGCCACAATTAGAGAGGACATTTACAACATCTTATATAAATAACTTCTAGCACCATGAGTGATATCAAGGAACAAGAGAAATAAGAAAGGACATTTAAAGAGAAAAACCAGGAGAACTTCTCTAAGGATTATAGTGTCAGTGAATCATCTTCCCGGGAAAAAATAAAAGGGGGGATCGAAACTTTATTACTAGATGAGACTCTTCCAAGTAGGATGGACAAAGCACCGGGCGGGCTTTCTGTAAAGGCAATCCTGCTTTAAGCGGATGGCGACGGCAGAACAAATCTGCTGCTTGGACTTCATCATCTGGGTGCAATTCACTGGAATGAACTGTGCAGCAAAGGGAAGGAGAGAACATGTCTGGGCCTGGAGCTGAGCTAATAATTGCCCCACACTCTCGTCTTCCCAGTACAAAGCAGCCATTCTAGGCTGTCATTATCTCTTCTTTGTAGTGTCTCCTGGATCATTTGATTAAATGAAAGCATGTATACCCCTGTGCTGAAAATAGAGGAGAGAGCTCGCTCCACTCATGGCTTATTGTAAACACACAAGCAGTGTCTTTCACTGCAGTTTCAATGTCTGGGTCTCTTGGAATGATTGGGTTGTTCGCAGGTAATGAAACCCAAGATGACAAAAGCCCAGGATTATTTGTACATTTCAGGGAGAAGACTAGTATAACTGTGTTCCTTTGGTCACATGTTAAGTCTCCATAGAATTTTGCTTCTTGATTTTGATCTATTTTTAAAGCAGAATCTAAAATAATGGGATATAGCCTGTTGCTAGTTACCTAGTTTTTAAGGAATAAGCAATGTTTATTAACTAGAATTGGAATATGGAAGTATTCTGAAATTATATGCTAGATGCTACAGCTTTACTACTTTATGAATAGACATCAGACTATAATTTATTATACAATAAAGTTAACTCTTCCATGCTTTAGTATAAAGCATATGCTAAAGTTATTACCACCTGCCTGCTTTGACTTCCTCTAAACACCCAATCAGCCTTTCTACATAATCTACAAAAGCAAGAATATATTACATCTGCATGGAAAGCATAGAATTTTGAAATGCCCTGTACCACTTACCCTTTTAATTGTATTGTGAACTTTTTAGGCTATGTCCAAAAAATGAGATCCAGCAGGGGAAATCATGGGGTAGGTATCAGCAGTCCCAGGGACAGAGGTCAGCTTTGCCTTTCTCTAGCCATTTGATTAGAGCCCCTACTTCTATGATCCATACCCATTTTCCTCTTCATCTCAACACGAGCTGCTTGTCGTGGAAAACACTGAGGTGTGGAAACTGCAGCACGGTGAGCTGCTCGGTAAGTGTTTCCATACTCCGTGTGGTCTGGCCTCTCTCTGGACTTGGCCTCATCCTGTCCTCCCTGTTGATACTATTAAATCTGGTGCTGATTTTCCCACCATAATACCGTTGTTTAAAAACCTGTAGCTTCTCTCCCATTCCTTTCATTCATGCTGTCAGTCCCATCATCATCATTTCCTTCCAAGGATTTCCTGTCCAGCTCTATCATTCTTAATCCATCTCTTTTTGCTTTGTTGCTTTTGGTTTTAGTAGGAAAGGGATCTCTGGATTGCTTTTGTTAGCCAAGGCAGCGAGGAGAAATCTTATATGGGACAAAGGCTTTCTATTATTTTACACATATCTCTTTAATCATTACTTAAGATCCATATGTGAGGTGCAGGGTTAACAACATCTTACTTATGGCTGCCTGTCCATGTAACATTTATTTTTCTCAAGCATTAGCACATTTTTAACCTCAGGGAAAAAAATTCTCCAAACACCTTTGAGGCCGCAGACTTGGAAAAATTATTCTCTTCTTGATTTCCCTGCTGTGTTTCTTTTCTCTGATACATATACTAACCAATAATCCTGAAACCACTTAAGCATTATCATCACTGTATAATCTCTGGGCTTTATTTCTTGACTACTGCAACATCATTCTCCTAAAAGAAAAAGAAATGGAACTGTATATAGAGTTGCATTGGCATTTATCTCCATGGTACTGGAAAGGCATTCTCTAAGAGACTTGAAAAGCAAGTATCTATTTTTTTCAAAGACTTTGCTTCACAGAGTAATTGTAAATGCTGATCAAAACTAGGGGTTGAGGGTGGTACCAAGCTTTCTTGTAGAGTTCTGATGGTTCATCTCCATCCAGACGTGTGGCAGGCCTGTTCCTCCAGTCCTGGGCTTCTGCAGAACACAGCTTCAGAATCCTTGTTGTTCGAGTGCACAAGTAAGTTCAACCATTGGGTTCTTTTATCTTTTCTGAGCTTGCATGTGCTATGAACTCTGAGGGCCAACTCGCTGTACCGAAAATCCATTCCCTATCTTGTGCATCCTGTGTTTGTGAAAAGGAATTGTATTCTTCAATTCTTCATTTTTCACAAGAAAGAATGTAAGTGAACTACTGGTCTCTTTTAAGTGCCAACGTATTTGTTCTAGAATCTCACAAAGAATTCATGTCATTGACTGATGGCTTTCACCTTTGCAATTTTCATTGTTACCTGGTAGCTTGATATTCTTCATTAATTTTGCACTTGGATGAATGTGTCTTACGAAAGTGGTAGTGTGTCGGTATATCTGAGAGCCACGTGGACACTCGTTGAAGGACACAGGAGGCTGGACTTCTCTTTCACCCTTCAGAAATAACTCTACTATAACCAAGACCTACCGGAGAACAAAACTTCAGTAACAGATTACTGGCTGTATTGTGCTAGTTTATTGAGTGATAGATTAGTTTATTACTCATTGCTCTTTAGGTATTCAATGAGTAACTTGTGGTCAACTGATCATCAACACTTCAATAAATACATTTTATTAAGACACATTCTGTGATTTAAAAAATTATAAAGGAAGAAAATAAATGGAACTTTCCATAGTTGTCCAGCAGGCGTCTATTTCTCTTTTAATGTTCCAGATATCTAGACTCCAGTGTGCTTTCCTGATCAGTTTAGAAGCAGAACTAAAGAAGGAATTTAAGTGGCATAAATAGTATCCATGCCAGAGAGTGGGAGATATTTGCAAGTCTATTAACTAGTAGTAGGTATTAGAACATATCAGTAGAGCAAGGCCAGGGCTCGTGCACGTGTGGCCTTTGACGCAGGGGTTCTCATGCGTGAGCACGCATCCTGGAGAGCTGATTAAACAAGAATGCAGGGCCCCAGCCCAGAGTTCCTGGTGTGGTTGGTCTGGGACGGATCCAGATAATTTGAATTTCTAAGAAGTTTCCAGGTGGCGTTGATGTCTAAGGACCACACATTGAGAAATTATCTATACAGTGGAGGAAACCTTTATAAACACATAGGCAAGTGACTCTGAAAGCATCCGAATTGGTAGTTTTCAGTTTGTTTAAATACTCATCACCACCTCTGCCATGAATCCCTCAGAACCTTGATTTTAACGTCATGTAGAATTAACAAATGACTATCTTAGGCAAGTTAAGTCTTCATCGTTCCTGGAATATACTTTTTGCCAACACAAGCCCCACTCCCCAAATATCTACATACAAGAGTGTTCTTGGTACACGGAGAGCCCCGAAGTATGGTCCTGAAAACCAAAGGCAGGAGCACGGAGTCCCAGAGAAGATGTAGTGTGCCAAAGTCACACAGCCAGAAACTGCTAGAAAGATGTGAGCAAGTATTTATAAGTCCCTTGTCTTGTCTTCTGTTGATAGCCTAAGTTCATGTCTTCTGCTTTTACCATTCAAGTTTCCACTCTTCATACTTAGACTTGTCTCATGACGGTGCATTTGATAAATTTCACAGCTAAATTGTGGAGTTTCTCTTTAGGGAATTATGATTTTGAAGAAAAATTATTGGAAGAAGAAAAAAAATCACTTATCCAATGAGTATGTCTTTGTAACCCCATTTTCCTAAATTCTCACATTTTCCACCTAAATTCCCAAAGTTATTTGCCCTATCCTGGAAAAAAAAAAAAAAAAAAAAAAAAAAAAAAAAAAAAACTATCTCCTCCCCGCCAATTTCCAACATTGTTTTGGAAATATTCATCCAGGTTATGGCAAAGCATGTGCATGAGTTGGGGCTCTAGGGAGAGACAAGTGCCAGAGGATAGGTGCATAGGCACGTGAAAGAGGACGTACCAGGGAGTTGGCTTACCCATTATGGCTGCTGAGAAATCCCACAACAATGGCCTGGAGGCTGGAGACCCCGGGGTGCTGGCAGCATGGCTCGCTCCATGAGTGAGGTCTTAGACTGGGGAAGCCAAGGGAAGAGCTCTCATTTGGGGACCCACAGCCTGAGCACCAGCACAGAGGCTGTTGGGGAAGCCTGGAGTCCCGCGTGTCCCAGCTCACGTGGGAATAGACCAATTCACGTTTTGTGTTTGTCCTCTCCAAAGGCTGGTGCCCACACACACGGGGCCAGGAGAGCCTCCTGGTCAGCTCAGACTCACGAGCTCACCGTGCTTCGAAGCAACCCTACAGACACACGCAGAATAATGCTTCTCCAGGTGTCCGAGCGTAACTCAGTCCATCCAGTAGACGCATAACATGAACCGTCACAGCGTGTTCTAACAACGAATGCCAGCGCAGACTCCACGAAGTTCATTTTATTTCTGTGAAAGTTTGACGGATCCCATGGATAGCATGCTTTCCTGTCACTCTGTAGGTCCAGTTTTATGTTTAAAAAAAAAAAAAAAATGAGAGGTGGAGCAAGCAAGGAAAGGTTTCAGAAGGTTTCAGACCCGATTCTATTCAGGAACTAACGTAGTGTTATTGATTTGTTTTCTGTTCCGTGGTACTACAGCAGCGCTCATGTAAACTAAAAACCTCAGTTTTCTGGTAACGTGGCAAAAAGTTTTGAACGTATCCAGTTAGAACTTAGAACTGCTGCTTGCCAAGCGTGCTGGGTACCACTTCCTGCCTCTACGGAGCTCATGAAAAATGGCATGAAGCTTCAGCAAGCTGTGACCTCGTAAATATAAATGCGTGCACTCATCTAACAGACAACTTGAGGCGATTTCATGAATTAGCCATGAAAGAGAATCTGCGGTGGAACATCATTTCACCTGTAATCAACCCACTTGTCTGGAGAGGACCCCGTGGCAGCATTATATGTAAATTACAATTGCCTTTCAGCCTACAGGAGAGCCTGTGCCCTCAACACCTATCTTGGGAGACGCTCAGGAGTAAAAGCCAGAAATACTGGGGTTCTGGTCCCATGCTCACCATTTATGAGTATGAATCTTAAATTCCTCATCAGTGAAATGTGGTTAAGGGCCCTTGCTTTCCTGCTTCATAAGATTTTAGTGGAAACCAAATGATGCAATGTACATACACACACTTCCAACATGCTAAAGCTTTGTAAAAATGGACAATTTTTAACAACTTGTTCTTTCCTGGGATTATCATTTTTCGCACAACATTTCTTGTCATTTTTTTCCTCCTTTGCCACTTATATTCCTTAACAGAAGTTACAGATCCAGTGCATAGAGGATGATTCTCTAAAGTCTGCTGTTAAAGGCAGTTTCAACAGCCACAGAAGTGGGTAAACCAGTCAACCAATCAATCACACACCAAAATATAATGCAGTATTATGTAATCATACGCAGTGTGAACTCTTGGAAGTAAAACAAAAACACAAACCTGACGATCACTAATGCTACAAGTGCTGAAGAATTATTTTAATCTGAGAAGCCTTCGTTCTAACAAAGTCCATTCTCGAAAGCCTGTGCCTGTATATGGAACAGACGGGAGCAGAGGGTTCTAGTTGAAGTGGGCATGGAAGCTGATGGACCTTGTAGGTGCCCCACAATCCCTTCACAGTACTGCAGAACCTAGTCACAGAGCTCACAGAGGCGTGGGGTGTGGAGACCAAGTGCTGTGTTGATGTTCACGAAGCTGAACCCCTACCGCAGCAATGTTCAAGACTATCCAGTCCAACAAGGCAGCGAAATGGGCAATGTGATTTAGAAAGAATTCAGTTGGAATGTGCAAATATATTAAAAAAGATTATCTTTGAAGGGTCTGGTTTTTATTTTCCTTATAAAGATACCTGGAAGGCATGACTTTTTGATGATGACAGATACAATGGCTGTGGCATTATTGTAAAATGGAAGCGGTAGGAAGTCAAAGACGGAGGGGAGAGAAGCAAGGGTCATAAAGCTGTAGCTCTAGAATGTTAGCCAGAAGGGATTAGGTAGAAGGCGCGGCCAACCCAAAATTTAGAAGGCTGGTGCCTCGAGGTTGAGAGGATCTTCATGAAATGACTGTAAATAGAAGGAACATTTTTGATACTATAAGAAACACAATAATTTTATAGTATTGCTTGGTGTTGAAACCAGATTTAAACGCTTTTAATATTTAGCTACCTTCTCTGGCTTGTTTTACATGGTATTTGATGCAAAGAGATGATATGACCATTTTTAGAAGACATAATTTTTTAAAATTCTGATTTTGTTCACCTAGTTCAATAGTGTGATTTAGAATTGTGTATAATAAAAATCATTAAAGAAAAGGTTCAAGTACTGGAGTAAATGGAAGTAAATTTGGACATAACCTTGCCAATATAAGTCACATAATATAATTTTAAAATAATTGCAAATATTTATGATGTGAGTTTCAGACATAAGGAAGACATCTTTGGTTGGCACATTGATTTTGTTTTCTGTTTTGTGGCACTTAAATAGTTCTCTTGTGAGCTAAAACTCAATTTTCTACTAACATGGCAAAAAGTTCTCAAAGTATCCAAATAAAAATCACAGCTAACCTTACAACTAAAAACCACCTGTAAAATCCATGTGTAACATGAAAAAGAAAAACCTTCAAAAACCATCAATAATTAAAAATTAAATATGAGTGTGGATGAGGCCTTTCATATTTGTAATACTTATATATAAATATATATATAGACACAGGCATGTTTAATGCACATGAAAATATTCCCTGATTTTCTTGAAGTATCTACATGTTGTAATATTAAGAAGTAAAAAGCCAGAATGTCTGAGCACTCACCCCTTAAACACAACAGATACATCATGAGATAATTTCCTAATTTGTTAATAATTCTATAATTAATCAGTAATACTCCATGAATCTTTACCTAAAATTATAATTGTCGTTGTTGCTTGAAAAAAGTTCTAAAACAACAGGGGAAAGGGTAATACCACACGAGGTATTTGGGTTTCAAGCACAATAACCTCACTCGGTTTCCCTTTGCCCAAAGTTTCAGACGCAAAGTTTACGTCTGTCAGACCTACACAGAAAATCACACCTTTGGAGAGGAATCGTCAGCATCACCTTGATCGAGGGGCGAGATCTGAAGGCCATGGACGCCAACGGGCTGAGCGATCCCTACGTGAAGTTCCGGCTTGGGCATCAGAAGTACAAGAGCAAGGTAGCCCTCTGTTATCTTTATGTGCTCCTGTCTCTATTTGGGAGGCAACCGTTGATTAACAGCCAGTCTCTGTGAGATAAAAGCACTAGATACTTTTTAAACTGCTTAGCAGAACTTCTTCTGAGCATGCTGGTGGACATCAAGACTGACAACTGCATTACATTTCTTCCTTTATGTGCCGGATGACCTTGGAGAAACTACTTCACTTCTCTGTCTCAGTGTTTCCATCTATAACGCGGGAGCCGCGTTAAGAACTGTTTCTTAGCACACCTGTGAGAATTTCTCAAAAGAACAAGAAACAACAACCCAGAAGGGGCACAGTGAGCTCTGAAGGAGCTCAATGAGCGTTAGCTGGTAGGACTGTGACACATGGTGCTGGTATCATAGTGGAAATAGCACTATTTCATAGCACATGCCAAAAGCCTTTGGACGTTATTCGCAGCCATTTGACTCAACCTGACTCGCACCAATATAGAGGGCATGTTTTCAAACTGAGGAAGCAAAGGGCCAAATTCCTGCTGCAGCTACAAGGATGAGTTAACGTAGTCTCTCTAGGCCTCAACTTCCCCAGCTAAAAAAAATGAGAATTAAAATAATGCCCAGCTGACAAAGTTATGAAGGAGATTAAATGAATACATGTTATTTATGTCAGGGCTTAGAAGGGTGCCTTGCCCACTGTGAGTACTCAGCAGATGGTAATGACAAAATGGAAAGAAAAGTAGCAACAACAGTAAGTGTGTTATGTAGTGACTGTTACACCTGTGGTTAACAGGTGTTGACTAACATGAATCTACATGGTGTAGCCTACTACATAGCAAGGCTTTGTGTTATGTATATGGGTAGAAAGAAAGATAGATAGATAGACGAATAGACGATACAGTCTATTGCTTCCAAAGCCAGGATGAACAAAACAACATGAGATTAAATAAGTACAAGAGAATGATGCAATCAAGAGATAGCAGTAGGGGCCGGCACTGTGGCACAGTAGGTTAATCCTCTGCCTGTGGCACTGGCATCCCATTTGGGTGCCGGTTCTAGTCCTGGATGCTCCTCTTCCAATCCACTGCTTTGCTATGGCCTGGGAAAGCAGTAGAAGATGGCCCAAGCCCTTGGGCCCCAGAACCCACGTGGGAGACCTGGAGGAAGCTCCTGGCTCCTGGCTCCAGATCAGTGCAGCTCCGGCTGTTGCCGCCATTTGGGGAGTGAACCAACGGAAGGAAGAACTCTCTCTCTCTGTCTCTTCCTCTCACTGGCTATAACTCTACCTCTCAAATAAATAAATACAAGCTTAAAAAAAGAGAGACAACAGTATACACAAAACATGAGAGGTTCTGGTGCTATAACACAGCATGCTGTTGTACAGTAAACTTCTTTTGCAAGTAGAAAGAGTACAATCTAAATAATGGTTAAAAGTACTGTCTAGTGAGTACATATGCCAGTAAATAGTCTTTCACTCTCATTGTCAAGTGTTATGCTGTATTGCTATACTTTCATGCAACTGGCAGTATAGCAGGTTTGTTTACATCAAAACCATCACAAACACGTGAATACTGCATTGAATGATAGGAATTTCTGCTCCATTGTAATCATATGGGACCACCACTGTATTTGCAAGGCATCATTGACCAAAATGTTATGTGCTACATGACTGTATGATAATAATATTATATTATTGATAGACTTAATAATTAGTAAAGGCCTTAATATTAATAGCTGTATTTTGGGCACATGTCATAACTGTGTAGCATCCAACTATGACCTCTGTACTGGTATAGTTGGTGTTTAGAGATAACTAATTGTGTCCATTGGATTTTTTTTAAAGAATTATTTTATTTATTTGAAAGACAGAGTTACACAGAGAGGTAGAGCCAGAGAAAGAGAGAATCTTCCATTCCTCTGGTTCACTCCCCAAATGACTGCAACAGCCTGAGCTAAGCTGATCCAAAGCCAGGAGCCAGGAGCTTCTTCTGGGTCTCCAACATGGGTGCAGGGGCCCAAGGACTTCGGCCATCTTCTACTGCTTTGCCAGGCCATAGCAGAGAGCTGGATCCAAGGAGGAGTAGCTGGGACTCAAACTGGCTCCCATATGGGATGCCAGAGCTGCAGGCTAGGGCTTTAACCCACTGCACCACAGCACCGGCCCCGTCCATTGGATATTAAAGATCACATCCCATTGTAATGGGAATTCCTTCACCTTGGTGTCATCATTTTCACGGAATGTTGATGGACAGCCTGCCAGGGTCCCTTCTGGCCCCAGAAGTTTTCATCCATGCTTAAGGAAGTTAGAAACACCGCAGAGCTGACTCACCAGCAGGCAGTGAGCCTTGCTAGCTGGCTGACATGGAGTTCCCAGTGGAAAGCATGGCTTCATTTCTGACCAGAACAAAATCGCATAGGGAAGACAGTCCTAAAAAAGAAAAGGGAAAAGTTCTTCTGTTTATGGTCAGATAAGTAAGATAGACTACACCTCCAAAATACCATCATGGTTCATCTGAGCCCAATTTTAGACATTTAAATCGTCATAGCATTCATCCAGGGCCACATGCCTTGGGGCTTAACAAATTTCAGAGTAGCTCCTGATTCCAAAAATAGGTACCTATGACCACTTCTAGCTTGTCCTTTCTCAAATAACACCATTTCCATGTTCTGGTAGGCTTAAAACATTACTTATTTTTATAGTTGTGCTCTTTAGGTATAAAATATGGAGCCTGGCTATGGACATGTGTCTCTCTTTGCTCTTTCTTTCCATGATCTATTACTGATTAATTTCAGATTATGAACTTTAAAAATTGTGATTCATTTTAATTACCTTTGTGCATAACATACTTCATTGCTTCCAAACTCTTTACATCTGAGTATCTGTCTGTCATGCATTAAAAAGAGAAAGACTACTACATGCACTCCTGCTGAAAAGAAAGAACGGGAAAACACATAGGAGTGTTGTTTAACCCGATGGTGGTTGGGATTTTAAACACATCAGTAGAAGTCACTGTTTATTGATAATACCAGGTGTCTGATCAGAACACTTTAAGTTACAAATTGCATCTCAGGTATAAGTCTTGTGTATACAGTATGAAGAATATATGTGAGAATACTTGAAAACCTTCATGGAAGATGAAATTAAAAGATAAGTCTTTTGGGTACAAAAAAGTTTGGAATCTATACAGGTGAGAGGTCAAAACACATCCATGGAAAATTCATGTTATGGAATTACTATGGGGAAGAGAATTTTTGGCCAAACAGTTAAGACACTAGCTGCGACACCCTCCAGCCATAGCAGAACGCCTGGATTCAAGTGCTGGCTCCACTCCCAATTCCACCTTCTTGCTAATGTGCACCCTGGGAGACAGCAGATGTGGCTCAGGTTCTTGGGTCCCTGTTACCCCTGCGGGAGAACCAGACTGAGTTCCCAGCTCCTGACTTCAGCCGTGGCCAACCTGCAGCTGTTGTAGGCATTTGGGGGAATGAACTAAATAGTTGGAATATATCTCCCGCCGGGTCAGTCTCTCTCTCTCTCTCTCTGCCTTCCAAATGAAATGGAATAATATGAAATTATTTTAAAAAGAAAAAACTATGCATAGATATCAAAATTTTGTACCAAAATAAACTTACCTTAAGCTTCCATTTTCCATGCACTTTTAAAGTGTGTGTGTATATCACATACATACATATCCCCATATAATGTGTATAAAGTGTTTCCTACACACACAGACACACATACATGCCCATGTATACACTTGCACATCTATAGTCACTTATCAATGCACAAAGATGTTTTGCACGTAGTTTTGAGGGATCAGTCCCAGAATCTACTCAAAGACTTGGAGACCTGGGCCCTGAGAGAGACTGAGCCTAGGTGAGTCACCTTAACACCCGGTCTTGGTTCCTCTATACATACAGTGAGGATAGTCTGTCAGTGCCGTCATTTCAAGGTAAAAGTTCCTGACTGCCCCCATGCTACTAGCTGGTTCCTCCTGCTCTCTCTCAACTTCCTTATCTCTTTTCTGTGTATGCAGCTCAGGATTCCAGTTTGTGTATGGAAAAATAAAGATATAAAGGAGGCTGTGGGAATCCCCGTCTTCCTTCATGATGGGATGTCTGAGAATGAGTTATGTCTTCATCCATTAGCTGTGATTATGTAGAATCAATGCCGGCATCTGTGTGGCTCCTTAATGTATAGGCTGTCTGCCTTTTCCGTTTGATTCACACTTCTCAGTTGCTATTTAAGATGAGCAAGGGCTACCTTTTGATTTTCAGGTCACATCCCTTAGCATCCTTTCAGGTTTTCAATAGTGATGGTACTGGAGGCCTAAGGACTCCCTCCTGTTACTTCTGGATTCTTGTTTAAACAGCACAGTGATGTGCTTTTCCAGATGGTACCTAAAGTTTTATGGTGCCTCAAGCCAAATGTTTTAACAAGAGTACTATTGGTTAAGACAATAATGACTTTTGGTTTTCCAGATCATGCCAAAAACCTTGAATCCTCAGTGGAGAGAACAATTTGACTTTCATCTCTATGAAGAAAGAGGAGGCGTTATTGATATCACAGCCTGGGACAAAGATGCTGGGAAAAGGGATGATTTCATTGGCAGGTTTGTGCCATTTGTTATTATTGGTTCACCCTGGAGAGGCCAATTTTTATTTGCTTTGAGGGATATTTGCTTTGAGTTTCGTTATTGTAAATGGCCTTTATTATTTTGGAGGTGAGTATGATGCCCCAGTAAGGCAGTGCGGGACTGACCTGACAAATAGATTTGAATACTGACCAGTAGGTGGCAGTCTTTGACCAGAGGATGGACACAGACGCTCCCAAGCCCTTACCCAGAAATTTTCCCCAGATGTCAGAAACATTGTGCATAAAAGTTATGGGAGTTGAGAAGGAGGAATTTCATCTGATATGAGACACTTAATGGAACAAAGAGCATATTCAGTCGGTAAAGTGATCTCAGATCATATTTATTTTCATAAAGCATATTGAGACCGTGAAATGCATTATGTCCTACAACTCCCTACAAGGTAGGGAATCTTTATAATCTCTTAGGAGTTCATAAATCTGTAAAGTTCCCAAGTTTTAGTAAAAGAAACATGTAAGTGAGGCAGATACATGTAAATCTGATAACGCAGCAAAGAAAGAAGTATTCCAACCTTATGTGATGTTTCTCCACAAAGTCAAAACTATTTTTGTAGGACTACTTGAATCTGAATTGTTTTATTATTATAAAGCCTATCTTTATATTTTTCAATAGTCAAACTTGTGCATTTGTAGCAAAACACCTTGAAACCAGCCAATAGCAAAATAAAGCAGGACAATTTATTAGTTTAAAAATTATTGATTGATTGTGGTTCACATGAATTCTAGGCTTTTAAATGTACAACCTGAAGAAAATTCATATATATTAATAGCAAAGGAAATTCTACTCTTGAAAAGTAAGAATATGAAGCCAATCCAACATATTCATTTTTTATGATTCTGATATGTATGTTTAAGCAGTCATTTCCACCATAGGATTACGGAGTGGAAGACTAAAGGTTGGCTTCTGTTAGCCTCTCCTGTGTTACTCATAAGGTAGAATTGAACAGCACCACTGTATTAATGCTTTGTTCTACCTCAGTCCTTTTCAGAGTGCAGCCCTTCATTGCACATTTCTCCCCTCTAGTAAACACGATATTCAGGGTTTTCTTTAAGTTTTATTATGTTCTCTTTGGGGATTATCACTAGTAAGTAGCAGTGCACATCTGTTAACACATTAAACGCATTTCCTTGTGATTATGTGTTTGTGATCCTATCTCCCTCAGTAGGCCATTAGCTCTTTCAAGGGGGGCAATATCTAGCTGTTCCTCGACTGATTAATTCATTTTCACAGTATATAGCAACAGTGACTTGTTTCATGACCACACAGTAATGACAGTGAGGGCCTTGTGTAACGTACTCCCTTGATCTTATTACATTACATTCAAACTGTCTCATAATGTAAAATAATGAAGAGGATTATGATGTAAAACATACTGGCTTCTTTTACATTTGAGTACATGTTAAATAAAGTCTTTCTTACCCCACTTTCTATTTTTTTCATAAGGACAGGTATCTTTTTATATATGTTTTTCCTTTGGGAAGAATTTTCCAATTTGCAAAGAAAATTTCTTAGCCCATTTGGTTAAGTCCTTTCCCTCAACCTTACTTGATGGCATTACACATTTCTCCCAGGTAGAACTGGTTGGCAGAGGAATATCTGTTTATCTAATTCCACTTTATTTCTAAGGCTTTGCCTCTGTTTTAGCAAACTTTGAGAGGACCATGGCAAAGAGCTGAATAGGAGATCCTATCGGAGCTACTCTAAGTATCTGGCAGAAATTCAAAAGGGGATCATGAAATGTGGAAAAAGAGAAGAAGCCCATTTCTGGTTATTTGATGGACTTCAAACTGCTCACAGAAAAAGATCAATTTATTTTGGTGCAAAAATGTTTGAAATTCGTACATAATTTTTTCATAATAGGCATTGTCTATAAATGTTTTGAAGACCTCTCATATGTTCAACATAATTGCTTTTAAAAGCAAGTTGAACCTACAAGTTTTAGAGTCAGAAACAAGGGTGCACACAGGTGTAGACAAGATGACTTCTGCTACAGCCCTCAAGTATTGGTTGAAAGCAACAGAGGGGGAATTACCACTGGATTTGAGATCATCAAAGGTGGGTGATAGAAACCTCTGGCGTGTTCTGCTGATTTAACAAAGATACCAGTTGCAGGCAAAGAAAATGACTATGGTGAAATCCTTGTTTCAAATCTACTTGATGTCCAGATAGCACGGAAACCCCAGTTGTCTTAACTTTATGCTTGTTAAATTGGGCTTTAAACACATCCTGTCACTGGCAAACATACCATTATCCCTAAGTGGCTTGAAAGTTGTGTTTATTTATTTGAAGGTTGCATGTCAACAGTGCAGATAATGCAGATTACAACAGAATTTCTAAGCTCCTAGAATAGCTTAGAATGGAACTGACTTCCCTCCAATTAAATCTGAGTTCTCAGAGTAAACTAAGAAGAGTAAAACTGTCCTGGTGACCTTCTGTCTTCCTTTGCAACCTATCATTGTGCCATTCTGTGTCTATATTACCTTAAAAATTCTAGACCATTCCGGGATTTGATGGGTGGCTGCTGAGTAAATTTAAAATTGGCCATAGAGGGTAATGCCATCCCTTCAGTGTCCTAATAACACCTTTTAAAGGGTTCTGTCTACACTGAATCCCAAATTTGAGACCACTTGTATGGGCTAATTACCTTTAGAGACTGGTTTATGCTGCTGTGGTTTTATGACCATCCACTTTATTTTCCACTTTCTGTCACACATTATTGATTTTTGAAAATGTGTTTTGTAAATGCAGACTCAGTGATGGGGTTTGTTTGTCTTTGCTTAATAAAAACAAGACCGGCCGTGAATGTAAGAGCCACCTGCACATCCGGAATATTGAGACAAAGCTATTAACACTGGATGTTCACTCACTTCCGTTCTCACCTGAACCCGTGGTCAGGCTGTCATGCCTGCTGCCCACCCAAACTGCTCTTGTCAGGGTCACCTGGGAGCACCTGGTGGCTGAGGTCAGAGACCAGTTTCAACCTTCATCTGACCTGAGCCAGCAGTTGCGAGGGAGTTAGCGGTTAATGCCTGTTTCCCTGGCTTCCAGGACCCCACCCTCTCCTTGTGGTCCTCTCAGCTCATTGAATGCTGCTTTCTCATCCCCTCCTATTTGGAGTTTTGGAGCTCTTCTCAGCATCAATCTCAGCCTGCATTGCTCCTCTGGTTACTTCTTCCATCCAGTCTCTGTGGCTTCTGTAGGTTGATAACACAAACATGCAGCTCCCTCCATAGCTCTGCCCGCAATTCCAGATATCTCTGTCCATCAGCCTCCTTGATATCGCCACCTGAGCGTCTGGTCGGCTTCTTCAACTTAGCACCTCCAAAGCCGAGCTTCTGACCACCCTCGGAGACTGCTCTTTCTGCAGACTGCTCTGTTGCTGCTAACACCAAAATCTTGGAGTCATTTTGATGGCTTTTTTCCACTCACTCTGATGAACTCAATCAGCAGCCTGCTAATGCTTCCTTCGTAGCATCCTCAGTGTGTGCTGCCCCTTCAGCATATCTGCCATTATTAATTCTGATTCAAGCCTCATCGGCTTTCAGGTGGACAAGAGCAACAGCTGCCATTTCTTCCTTCCATTCTTTCCCTCCCACCACAGCCAGTTTCCAAAGTAACCACCAGGTATATTTCATAAACATAAATATGGACAGACGATGTGACCCGATAGATTAAGCCTTCACCTCCTATCAGAATGCCTGGGATTGAGTTGTGCCTCCACTTCCAATCCAGCTTCTTGCTAATGTGCCTGCCTGAAGGTCCAGGTATTTGGGTTCCTGCCACGCAGCAAGAGACCTGGGTGGAGTTGCAAGCTCTTGCCTTCAGCCTGGCCCAGACATGGCTATTGTGGTCATTTGGGAAATGAACCAGTGGATGGAACATACTTCTTTGTCTCTTCCCCCTCTCCCTGTCTCCCCGTTCCTCCCAAACTCTCCCTCTCTTTCTCTCCCTTTCTGTATCTTTGCCTTTCAAATAAATAAGTCTTTAAAAAAAATTAACTCCTTTGCTCGAAATCCTTCAGTTGCTTCCCATTGTAATCTGGCTAAAACCAAAAGCCCTGACAAGGCCCGCCATGTTCTGCCTTGACCTTGACCTTGTACCTTTCTGCCTCCCCCACCCTCTGCTCTCTTCCGGCCACATTGGCCCCTGCTGTTCCTTGAGCACACCAAGCCCTTGCCCACTCAGAACCTTGCCCTCTATCTGTAACACTGTCCCCTCGGGGGCTTATCTGTCTGCCTGCTTCTTCAGCCTGGATGGGTCTATACACAAAGGCACCAGTACCCAGCCTGCTTGAAATTGAACCAGCTTTACTGGCACGCCCTTTCCCAGATTTCTCTTTCTGTATGAAGCAACGGAAGGAAGACCTTTCTCTCTGTCTCTCTCTCTCTCTCTCACTAACTCTGCCTGTCAAAAAAAAAAAAAAAAAAGTAACCCCCATTTGGGATACTTTACATTTCACTTATTCATCTTATCATTGGCTTCCCCCCACTAGGATGCAAGCGCCGTGAGGGCAGGAATGCTTGAGCGTTTTGTCCATTGCAGGATTCAATACTTCTGCAAGTATCTGGCACACAGTAGGTGCTCAGGAAATCTTTTCTGCCTCTGGATTTAATGCTGGAAGTCATGTCTCTTCTTTCTCTAAATGAATAGTGACCTGAAACAAGGCATCAAGTTTCAGTGTCTTCGTGGAAAGTTCTTTGGACATAATGTGAAAGAGGAGAATTAACTAAAGTATAGAAGTCTGTGATTAATCTTTACACTTAGAAAATACTAGATAGGTATATTTGGGGGCAAAAAGTAGACTGTCCATTTACTAAGTAGCTCATATTATAGCTTTTTCAGCATGTTTATATCTAAGGAGTTAATACGATCTGCTTGTTAAATTTTGCACAAAAGTAAGTTTACGACAAATGGGAAGAGACAATAATCCTAACGTGTCACATTACAAGGCACTGTTA